CCTTCACTTAAGATTGCATACCCTTTCTAGCCACCCTAATTGGGTGCTCAAGTACATTGAAAATTTTACCTAAAACCTGACCTAGATTTTCGTTTTTCCAAATTCAGCTGATTAATTCTTGCAATAAAGACACTGAAAACATTTTCTTTTCCTATCTGTAGCATCTTCTTCCATTTCTGAAGTTTATTATCATACATCATTCCTCCCTTTTCTACAATAACCTACGTCTTTCAAAAATGAGGCTTGTTCTTAAACGTCTTATTCTCATTCTGCTCCCCTAGACCTCTCAAGATATTCATCTGTATTCAGGTGCTAGTACTTCTTCACTTACTTGATTTCTCCCCCAAAAGCTAATATTAAACAACTGCACTTGAGTAGCTCAATTAATTTGAACTGTTTCAATTTCATCTAGTTTAACATTCCCCTTTCATTTTCTTCCCACTTATATGGCCTTTCATTCCCTGAACTCTGCTATCTGCAACGTACTTGGCCACTCTTATCTCTTCCAGGCAAGCTCTGAGCAACTACGCATTTCTGGTTACTTCTCTGCGCATTAAGATGTTTTTCAATTGCTTCTGAACTACTACAACTCTCTACAAGGTTAGTTTGTTAAACCGATCACTATTTCATGGGAGTGCTTGCTATATGAAAGCTAACACAGTCATATTAGATTGTAACCTGCTGGTTAAGAATTTGAATTGTGTCACTTTTTATTAGCTTATATGCTCTTATTTTTTTGAGGTTTGTTTTTTTTCTCTGAAGGGGATATACATGCGAATTTGAATATGGAGCAACATCTTGTCTTATTTTCAATACGGAAATGTGAAAGCCCCATTTTATTAGGTATTAACAATGAATTACATCTTAAAGGCAGAACCTGTTTAAATTTTGTTTAGAAGTATTATAAAGAGTAAAGAGTAAATACAAGCCTGTTTTCACATACACACTAACTAGCATCTTTTGGTAGATAAACAATAAACATTTACAGAGACTGAACCATCTTCACTCCCTTGAATACAGATGATGCCTCCTTGAACTCAAGAAAGTAAATGCTAGCTGACTACAACAGTCAATGACAAATCTGTCATCTGAATAGTATTTGCTGGGTTTTTTTTAAATCAATTCAAAACCAAGTTTAGTGTTCAGTATGAATGCACATGACACCAAAAGCCCAAGTACTTTTAGGAACATAGTGAATTCTTAATATTAATTACTCTGAATAAATGGCTGCAGATCTGAAGCCAGTTTATGCTTTTGCATCTACAGAAAAACACAGCCTAGGCTTGACGTACAGTGTAAAGTTTCGTATATTCATTAATGCCAGCTATTATAAAGCATGACCTCGCTTGCTTTTGTTAACAGAAACAAAGATACTCCATGAGCTATGCTTCCACCTATGATGTGCTACAAACATACTTACATCTTTTGCCATGTTACCAAAGACTAGAAATCAGTCCTCTTAAAGTCTTGATGGCTGCAGGACACAGAGACAATGGTGCTATTTTCTGGAAAACAAGTAAAGACAACATCAGCTGTTAAAAATGAAAGGAGGGAAAGTTTTTACAATTATTGACTACTGCCAAATACAATTCAGCGTTCAAAGAACCGGTTTTCAAGAGGAAAAAGTTTCCTGTCATCACCAATTCATTCCCTAAGCCCCCCCCTCCTCACGATCACGTGTAAGAAACCCTCCTTTCCCGACAGCGGGGCTGAGCCCTGCGTGGACCCGACCCCAGCCGAGTCCCTGTCCAGCTGCGCCCCTTACAACACCGCAGCGCGGGGCGCGGCGGGGGAAGCGATCCCTCCCTCGGCCTCCTCCTCCTCCTCCCCACCCCCATTTCTAGCAGCAGGCACAAGTAGGCCCCAGGGGCCAGCTCCCCCTCGGGGCCTTGCAACTCCCCCCCCCCGCCCTTCTTCCTCCTCCTCGCTGGCAACCGGGCACACAGCAGAGACTGGCAGCTGCCACCCCCCGCCCCGGGCACCACGCCGGGCTGCACTGCCGGCGGTAGGGGGAGGGGAATGGGGCGCGCGGTCCACCCCGTCCCCATCCTCCTCGCACAACCGGCGGCAGCACCCCCTTCCTCCTCCTCCACAACCCCATCCCACCCCCCCTGTGCTCCCCATCCTCCTGCTGCAGGCCGGCCCAGGCTGCCCGCACCTGAGCGGCCGAAGGCGGAGAGCTCCGGCTCCATCCCCCGCCGCCGCCCGCAAACAGGGACCCAGAGCGCGGAGCGGGAGCAGCACCCCCCGCCCGCCGCCGCGCTGCTGCCGCCGCCGCTGCCGCTGCTGCTGCTGCCGCTGCGGAGGCGCCCAACTGCACATGTGCGGCGGCGCGCGCGCGGGCCTGGCGAGCCCGGCGGGAGGGGGCAGGGGAGGAGGGAGACCAACGGCCCCAACGGCAGTTCGGGCGGGGGAATGGGGGGGGGAGAGCGAGGGGGGGCTCAGCCGGCTGGGTCCGCCCCCCTTCCCCGAGCTCCGGGGCGGGGGGAAGGGGCATGAGGAGTGGGGGGGGGGGGGGTCTCAGCCTGCGGCGGGCGGGCTGTCACTTCCCAACCCGCCTCTGCCCCCGCCGGTCGCCAGCTTGGCGGGCTCCCGGCTAGTCACTGCCCACACATCCCCCTCCCAGCACACACATACACGCACCCGGACCGCCCCCCCCAGCCCGCCCGCGGCCCCACACACCTGTCCGCTGCTGCTGTCCCGGCCCGCGCCCCAGCCACCGAGGGGCTGCACGGGGAGTGGGGGGGGGCAAAGGGGAGTGAGGGGGGCAACCCCTCCGCGGGACGCGCGCGCTCGAACCCGCCGCTCTTCCCTTTTTTTTTTATTTGAATTTTTTTTTTTCCCTGCAAACGGGGAGGGGGTAAAAAAAAAAATAAAAAAAATAAAAAAAAATTGAAACTTACACTTTTGTGCGTCCCCCCGGCGTGACGCTGCGCGCTGACGTCACGGGGTGTAGCGTGCCTTGCACGGGCACACGCGGAGCGGCTAAGCCAACCGGCCGCCCGCTCCGCGGGGAGCAGGGAGCATGCGCGGGAGTTTCGCGCCTTCCGACTCACCGCCCTGCGGCGCGAGCGCGCGGGAAGCATCGGCGCGAGATCGGTCTTCGGCCTGTAGAGCCGCGCCGCCAAAGGGCGGGAAGGCGGCCGGCGCCTCCGAGTCCCTTATCGCTGCGGGACACGGGGCTCCCCGCCGCCGCGGGCAGGGACGCGCCGGGCTGAGGAGCGAGCTCTCGCTGCCGAGCAGGTTTCTGGTGGCGCGGGAGCCGGCACGGCACGGCACGGCACGGCCGGGCGGTGTAGTTGGTTGCCACAACATCCTGCCGGTGCTTCCTCCTCACGTACTGCCTGGCCGTTACTTCAGCAAGTTGGCTGACAGTCGCCATTGCTGAAATGAGGCTTTTGTAGTAATCCAAGTTTGCTGTTACGCGGCCGCTGGACCTCACTGTGAATGAGGCCAGACCTGTACTTGTGTGAATTTCTGGTATCTCCAGGGTGTGAAACCTTGTGTGCTGGCTTGTGTGCAGTGACGGCCATGGGGATGGTGCATGTTAGCTGCAGGGTGTGATGTAATTACACAAGAATGGTGTAATTCCTGGCAAAAAAAAACTCGCAGGATGCATAGTGGGAGCCACAAAGGCAAACCTGTAGTGGTGGATAGAACCATAGAATGGTTTGGGTTGGAAGAGACCTTTAAGGTCATCCAGTTCAAACTGGCAGGAACACCTTACACTAGACTGGGTTGCTCAAGGCCGGGTCTAACCTGGCTTTGAACACTGCTGGGGATAGGGTAGCCACAGTTTCTTTGGGAGCCTCCCCTTGACTGGAACATTGCAGCAAAGCGACAAACCGAAAAGCTGGTGTTGGTTACAGGAGTGTGTATATGGCACTTTGATGGAGTGGGGGAAGCTGCACATGGTTGTACATGCAATACCAAGCATGTTAGGTACAAGGCTGTTAATAATGTGATCAAGAGAGGAGCAGGAAGTAAAAGGGTTGGTTTTTTCTCTAAAGGTGTGGTGCTTTGTAGTCATGCCTGGGAATGGAACACTGGTAGGGAATAGAAGATGCAACCAGCAGAGATGCTATACAGGAACAGCAAAATGAGTTAGCACAGATGTCAGCGAAGACACATTTCATCAGTTGACTCTCTATTTAGTTACTTCTGTATCTCAATTTTTAATTTAAGGCATTGGGGAGTTGTGTTTTATAGTAATGAGGAAATGGATGCTACCTTCATTTCTCAATAAATAGCAATGTCTGAAGTTTTTCATTCACAGTAACCTGCTGCTCGCTGCTGTGGGGTTCTGTGGCAGCTCACAGAATCACAGAGTCAGCTAGACTGGAAAAGACCTTTAAGGTCATCAAGTCCAACCATTACCCCAGCATTGCCAAGTCTACCACTAAACCATGTCACGGCCTCATTACACAATTTTTTAACGCTTCCAGGAGTGGTGATTCCACCACTTCCCTGGGCAGCCTGATCCAATGCTTGAGCACCCTTTTGGTGAAGAATTTTTTCCTAATATCCAATCTAATATCCCCTGCCACAGCTTCAGACTTTCCTGTCATCCTGTTACTTGGGAGACCAGCCACCTCCTTGTTCCATCTTCCTTTCATGTAGGAAAGTAGCCTGCTCTGGTAACAACTATTATTACCCCATTGCTTCAGTGTTCTTGACTAAACTCGATGGCAGTGGACATCGGAGAAAGATGGAGATAATGAAAATATGTTTATAACTTTTCAGAAAGAGGCAAGGACTTGAACACAAAAAAAGCCAAGAAGCACCCAAGCCAGCTGCTGAATAAGGCTTCCTGAAAGACAACATCTCCAGTTGACAGTGCTGCTCTCCATGCTGTGGGTCATACAGAGTCAGTTTAGACTCACAAGCACAGTACATACCTCAAGTCCCTGCCCAGGCTGCCCACACACCCTTTTATGTTCATTACAGAAACAAAACTTTGTGAGACAGCTGAACAAGCACAAACAAGAGGGGCAGGCCTGGTTTGATAGCATTTATTTTGACACAAGACTGACTGCCCCAGCATACCCACTCCCAGGTGGTTTTTAGGAGAGGGTTGCTGACAGCTAATTTGAAGTATTTGTACCGGTGGAAAAGCCTTCAGCATTTCTCTAATCTCTGAGCACACCTCTCAGGCATTTTGGAGCTTTAGGACTCAAGAGTGAAAGGCTATTCCACTTCACAACTAATTAAAGTGTGCTTGAAAAGGAGAACAGATCACAACTGTAACCAGCATTAGTGCAGCAGAACCTTGCAAGACACAAAAAACTCTTTCAAGAAGTTACCTATCTATTAACCAAAGATGAATGCCAGAGGACATGCACATGGATATATTTTGACTGATACTTTGCTTGAGAACTGGAAGTCTGCCATCGTAAGAGAGGGACCTATGCAAGCTCCAGGCTTAAAGAAACACTCAATACCAGTAGACAAGTAGGTTGTCAACAAGCTTGTCAGCATCTGCCCTGGTTGGGAGGTAGCATCTCCCAATTCTCAAATTTCTGCTGTATTTTAGGAAATAAACACAGCTTGGTGCCATAACCTTGAAAGTATTGCCATTCCCTGATCTATATTTTGCCCCCAAGGCAGGACTGATTGTCCCTAAACCGCTCTGGTCACACCATCATCCAGTTTGCTCTTTGTCTCCAGCCATCAGGAGTTTTTTCTTGGTCACCGCTGTCTTCATGCTGTTTTCCCCACTGGGCAGTAGTAACTACTCGACAAGAGGTAGTGGGAAAGCAGCAGAGGAGCATGTCTCTTGGACTACTCCATGGAGCTGGGAGAGAGGTGTGTCTTTCCCTTCTGCCTTTTGTTTCCTTTAGGGTGGGTGTGGTGGGCCATGCATCTCGCAGCTTAGGACATCTTCCTGCTCTTCCTTCTCCCTTCACTAAATCTGTTGGGTTCCTTCTTTTTAGGTCATCTTAATAGTGGATGTCTGGTACCTGCTGCTCCTTACAAGCTATTGTTTCCCACAAAGATGCTGATGCTGTTAATGTGGCTCAACTCCTGTTACTCGGGGGTCCAGTTTCCTCCACCTCTGGCAGTACCCAGGTGCTGGAGCACTGCCAGGATTGCTTACAGAGAAGAACTGCAGATGCCTTCCCTAGACAAACCCCAGGAGGGCTTTTCTGGTTAAAGTGTTTCTGGGTTCGCTCCAGCAGGCAGCAAGACCACACTAGGTTTTCCACACCCTCTGTCAAGCAGCATCATACAGTGCTATTCTGCATGCGAGGCACACCCACACGTGCCTCTGCCCACAAAGCAGAGGATGTCCAACTGTAAAAGAAGTAAAATACAACATATTGTGAGGCAGCTTTCTTCTCATCTTTGAGGATTATAGGAAATAGGAATTCTTACAGCTTTTAGAAAGCTATATATGCCTGTGGACTGGGCAACCATGACAGCGGTTTTTGAGCCGTTGTAGACCCACATCAGTCACAACTGCAAAAGCCTACCTCACAGCTCCTATTAGACGTCTTCCTACTAAGGGACTGAAACATCCTGCTTTGTACAGGATGAGCTGTAAGTAGGGTGGTTGTGGGTCCATATATACCAATCATCTGACACAGGGGACAGGAAAGTGACTCAAAGTATGAGCACTACCCATGCTATCAGCTTTTAAAGTGTTTTGTTTCCTTCACCCTCATAGGCAGCAATGACCAACGGTAGCAATTAAGGGGTAACATACAAGAACTCAAATTTTCAGAGAGAAAGCCACACAAAACAAGCAGCCAGTTGCACCCACCTCCAAAACAAACCAACTGAAAAAAAAACAAGCCAAACCTAAATCAGTTACACTGAATGAATTCCACTCCCTTCAGCTCAGCTTCACTGCAGAAATATTCTCTCGTCACTTAGGATGTTTCTATCCCATATCAGCTTTTCCATATTCAAATCATGCTAGTCATTAGCTAGAAGAATAGTAGAACCACAACAAGCTGAAACAAACATTGCCAGAAAAGACCGCCTGTTCTTCAACAAATCGGTAGATTTTCCTTTCAGGGCTCCTGGATCTCTGCTTTAATTTTACCAATTTGACACAGAATATTCCAGAGTACAAGTATCAGGTTCCTGAAAAGCTGCAATTGTATCTAAGTTGTCCAATTGTGAAATACTCTCCTCATTTTCCATACAGGCACAACTGATCACTCAGAAATAAGGTCTGTTGTTTCTGTCCTAAGACTGTATCATGAGATCACCCCATTTTGACATGGAATCATGCATGGCGCCATTTCAGGAAACATTTACAGTATCTCAGTACATCTGATTGTAAACAAATTTATCATATGTCCAACAGGATTAGTAATTTGAACTTGCATCTAATAATCAGGCAATCCAAATCTACAGAGAGGCACAGAACACTGATACTCAGATGAGGCTCCTATTTCTCGTTCCCCAGTTCTCCTAAAGCCTAGCCAAGTCATGATTGAATCAAAAATTCTTTGGGAAAGAAGTGACGGACATGATACTTGCTTTACTTTTTGGACATGGTATCAAAAGGACTCTTCACACAACTACTTTAAAAGGTAATCAGGAAAATGTTTTCTTTAAGAGACACAAACCATCAGTATTTCCTACTCTGGAAAGTTCCAGTTAGGAGAGAAGTACAACTAGCAGTTTATTTTAAAAAAAGGTTTACTCATCACAGCTGTAGTACTTTGTATAATAGTTTCAAGGGCTGGGACATAATGGAAACCATACAGAGATCTCTACCATGGTCTGTCACAGACACTTTTCTTCCTCCCTGAAACATAGATGGCAAACTACATATGAAAACATCTTTCAAAACCAAAATGAAGGATTCAGAAGGGAAGCTTGTATTTCAAGATGCTATGAGCTAGGTCAGTGGATAGAGTAATGTATCTTTCCCTAGTACAGTTAAGAAACACATTTTAGTGAGGCACCTGAAAAAGAGTAAAAGGTCTGAGCTGGTAGATTTGTAAATGGTACCATAAAACTTTTAAATTACTTCTGTATTTTGAATACAAAAAACAACAAATCCATTTCAAGTTTCTTTTCTATTACAGATTCCTTTTATAAAAAACGCCACCCTGTTTATTTATAGGGCAGCTTTTTCCTCTACATTTGTCACTGTTCCTTGGTTACTTTTGAAACCATTGGAGGAGAAGTGGAATTGCAATACATTTTGCAGCCTTTATGAAGCATCAGTGCCTGGAAGAAAGCCCCAAGTCCAGCAAGAAAGAGCTCAAATATGATGAGCTCTACCCTGCCCTAACAGTATACAGACACTCCAGACTAGTCCAAGCTGCACTTTGCCAAGCCCAGCAGATGTCAGAGAAAACACAGGGCTACTGAGAAAACTGAGGCTACTATGGTAGACGAGGGAGGTATTAAAGCACACAAATCCATCCGAAGCTCCATTTTGCTACTTGGAGGACAGCTTTCATTTTAATAGGCTATTTAAACCCATGTCACATGCATTTTTCTAAACATTTTTGGGGTATTAAAGATCTTTCAGATGACACTGTAACACTGACCTACAGTGTTAATACATCTTTAATAGTATTGACTTTAGCAGATAAACCTCAGGATGATTTTTAAATTGTTAGAGCAGACTACAGTCTATGAGTGAGCTTTTTCTATGACACTTAGAGAATGGGCTTTTACAAGTCTTATCCAGCTATGTGTAACATTTTAAAGAACACCACACATGTATTTCAGATCACATTCCAAACACTGTATTTTAAAATACCATGATATTTTAGAGAGAGTAACAGTTTAGTCCACATAAATGTGACCTACCAAGTCATGGAGTTACAAATGTACATCCAGTCTGCCATTTTTAGTTTTGTGCAAATTAATTTTCCTAAAGTAACTCCAAATCTAGTAAAGTGTCAAATATCCAACCTCCAGAGTTACAGAACTGAAGTTTTTCCACATCTACTTGAAATCAGACTTCCCAGTTTTAGTACATTTATTTTTGATTCAAAATAAATCAATCTGTAAACAACTGCTGTAGCAGCAGTTAGCAACAAAAACTGGTGACAAGTGTCAGTCTTCCAGTATAACTTAAGCGATGCCCCTTTTTACTGTCAACTTTTAATCAGATATGTAAATAAATACAAGAATTAGCACAAAGAAAAGTTGCCACTGTAAGAAAATACACTGTGTGCTGTGATTTGGAGTAAAATACCATACAACATTGGCTGTATCATTTGCAGTATGAATCTGACTGCTTAAAACAGTTTGATGCTAAACAGTTAAACCTTTTATTGGTGTAAAGGACTATGCTTTTACTCACCGTCAGAAATGTTTTGAAATTAAATTTCCTACTAGTATATTAAACTCCTAGATGTGAAAATGACTCAAGTCATTTAGTGAAAGAAGATACCATAGGCACCATAATATATATCTATATCTTTTTAAACAAAATCTGGTGATGAACCAGCAGTAACAGGATGAAAATTAAAAGGCACATTCAGGCAAAAGATAACAGAGTTTGCATGATGCCATATTTTAAAAAAATAATTTATGCTCTGAATAAGTGATTGGATCAGGAACAAATTTTCTGGCAGATTCTAATCTGTCAGAGAGAAAGCAAATTTTGTACAAGTTGTGCAATTCAAATTACATAACTATATTTTAACTACTGAATCTTGTTTTGTATTTATGTCTGTATAAGGCTTATAACCAAGTGCACATTAAGAGGACCGAACACTCAAAACCTCTCATCTTCTGAGTGCATAGAAATACAAGGAGCAACGAAGATGTTTAAGATGTTTCTTGCAAGAAGATGGATACTTGTATATGTGCAAATCTTAATCAAGTACTTGAGCGTCTTTCAGGTCTTGGAACACATTTCATAATGGCAGCTCTCCACAGGGCAGGAGCAAGTAGAAGGCTCAGAGTAGTCACACTCAGAATGAGAAGATAGACCTGAAAATTGCAAATAAAAGCCATTACCTCTTAGTTACGTGGTAAACTTAAGATTAGAAGTTTGAGGAGATCAAACTCTTCTAGACAGTATGTTCAGGAGAGTTCACCTGTCTTCCTAACCAATTATGCATACTGCTACCAAAGCAAACAAGTGCATGCTCAAATTATTTGTTTACCTGGTTTGAAGATACAATTACAACAACAGTGTTATGAGCTTATAGAAAAATTATTTACATGTATAGTCAAGAGGTCAATTTTGAAAGTTCAGTGTTTGCTAACAGGTCAATGGCTAAATACCATTTTATTAGAACAAAACCAAAACAACAACAAAAAAACAACCAACCACCACAACAACAAAATATTACCATATACCCCCCCCCCCAAGCTATTGTGGTTTAATGATACAATGGCTAAGCTGAGTACTATTTTATACACAAAAAAACTCCCAAACAAAAATCCCTTTAAGTCATACTGCACATCATCTGAAAGAATGATCTTAGCTACACAGTCTGAATGAGTCTTACAAAACATCAGGAAGCAGTTTTAAGGTCTCAAACAGAAGAATGACTTACGGAAATTTTAGAACTATATAAACCTGTACATAGATAATAACATGAGAGCCACCACAGAAAAGAAGGAGAGCCTACAGGTTTCCATGTGCAGTGGGTGGGCCCCTAACCTGGTTCTGTGATTATGTATGGGTATCTTGAAACTCTAGACAAACATACAGTATTTATAACTCCTAATTATATGCACGAATGAACATGAAAATGAATCACCTTTGCCTACAAGTGAACAGCATTGTGTAAGTTTTTCACACATGCTTTATCTGGAATAGCTTCCAGCATTATACAGCCCACTTGCTCACACAATGAAAAGCTTGGGGTGCCAGCAGAGTATTTTTGTGAGCAGAGATACAGAGGAGAAAGCAAACAGCACTAGAAAATGAGGTCAGCTGTTTTATCTCCATAGCCATATTTACTTAATTTCACACAGCAGACTTCATCATGAAGAAAATAATATTCTTACAGCTTCAATATAAAACTAAGTTTAAGGTTTCTTTCCTGGGTAATTTTTTTTCATGACTACTGAAAAAGCTGGTTGTTTCTTCTGCAAAGGATTTAAAATGAACAAGCTTTGCAGGTAAAGATTACAAGTTTGCTTGTTTGTTTAAATGTTAAGGCAATTTCCACTTCACCATCTCTGCTCTCTAGCTCTTATTTACCAATATTCCCTTACTCAAATCCTGTACTCTCAGTTACTTCTTTCTATAGCTGTATCAAGATTTTAAAAGCAAGGGCTTCTCAGTGTTAGTGATGCAGGTGCTATCTACAGCTCCCTACTCAGTTAATAAAGAAGTTGTAAGAGCAATTAAGGTAAAGCGTTTACAACTAAGCTATGTAAAACTCACTATTTAATATTTTAAAGTACAATATGAAACAAGTGAAAAACAGAACTAAGAACCCTTTCAAAGGCCATACATGTCTCCAATTGTATGGGTTGATTTTTGTTAGCGGTTGAGATATACCAGTGTACTGGTATTTCAAATACCAGTCATTGTATTTCACAGTATTTCAAATACAATGTCATACAAAACCCCAGTAAGTTTTTCAGATGCAAACCCCAAAGTTGGTAAGTATAGAACAGCTTACCTCCCGAGATATGATCCCTGCTCTACGTGCTCTGCTTCCCAGAACAAAAGAGAATTCACTGACTTGTGCCAGTCCTGCTGAGACAATCCACTTGATATACTGGCTGGTCTTTGGAAGAATCAGAGAAAGGACAAGCACTGCCAAGACAAACTTGAAAAGCAAGGTTTTGGGGGGATTATTGCGGGTTTGTTTTTTAAATTAAAAAGTGCAGTAAGTAAAATAGTTAAATCTTTGTGAGATATAGAGCATCAAATACAATAATTCTGGACATAAACTAGTGGACTTCTAGTGTGTCTCCTGTATTAAGAAACAAATGTACATTGCACAGTAAAAATCAGTATATTGTTTACTATAATAAAAACATTTGATAGCTTTGTTACAAATTCCAACCTAGATAAATAGATGTTTCTCCATGTGTAGCTTACTTTTAACATTAAATAGCTTTTTTTTTCCTAATACCCTAAGCTTGTTCTATCAAACTGTATTTTAATCAGCAAGATTCTTCCAAATACAGCTTTACAGTAAAGCTGTAATATTTCCTGTTACATCAGATGTTCAATTTTTGCACAGAATTTTCATTACGGCATGCAGCACAAAGATTATTTAAACTATTATAAGATTAAAGAGGAAAAGAAAATACCTTCATTATGACCACAGACAGTGTAAGGAATAGTAAGACTGTAAGTTCATATATTACAAATGTGGGGAAAACATGAAGTCCTAGGAAGAAAGAAAACAATATTTCAAAGTTTAAATCCACTATCTTACTATGATAATTTTCTGAGTTAATAACAGATTTAATTGCAAGACTGTATTCAAAAATAAAAAGCCCTAACAGCTATCAACTCTACCTTCTTGATCACTAAAGCACTTCCTGCATTTATCCAACCATTATTCCTTCAGAGAGGTTTAGCATAAACAATATTCCCAACCAAGTTAAACTGAGATGACTGATGCACAAGCACTTTCATTTCTAAAGTCTCTCTCTTCCACACCAGTCAACAATCCAGGATCTGAACTGAAACACACCTCTAGTAAGAACTATAAAAATACTGCCGGAAAACAATTCCATTGTTCTGCATAATGACTGTAACATGCGCTTTGTTCACTGTTTCAACATTGTTGTACTGCATGGTAATGGGACTATCACTGTGGAAGGATCATGATATTCAGCATTGCATAGACTATAGAGCTACATCAGAAAATGTAACTGTTTGATCCCATGACCCTCACTTGCCAACACTGAAAGTCACCTGAACTGGAAAAGTCACTTAGGACTGGAATTGGTAAAAGGCAGAAAATCCCCATGCACATCCCCATGCCCTAACAACTAAGGAATTATACAAAACTCCATTGCTGCGATGTTGTTGGGGTTTTGAGTGGGTTTTTTTTGTTGTTGTTTTCTTTTTGTTTGTGGGGTGTTTTGTGGTTTGTTTTTTTTTTCGGGGGGGGTGTGGGGTGTTCTCTGCCAGTGGTTTAGTTGTTTGGGTTTTTTTTTCTTCTAAATTTTTTTTGTCATTTTAATTCATAGAATCATAGAATCATTAGGGTTGGAAAGGACCTTAAGATCATCTAGTTCCAACCCCCCTGCCGTGGGCAGGGACACCTTATGCTAAATTCAATGAATATAGAAACAAGAACCATAAAGAACGCAGAAATTGAAAACTAAATCCTGCTAAAGAAAAAGAAGTATTTGTTGGAGAAGTCCTGGAAGAATCCAACTCACAGCTGACTAAGTCCATGTTTTCTTCTTAGGGTATGAGGAACTTCTGCAGGCAAACATAACTCTTATCTTTGGAAGCTTATTCCTTTTTCTTAAAAGCTCTTAAAAAAAGGAACCAAAATAATGGTGGTGTTCCTGATAAATCCATAATAGTTGGCAGTTCTCCAACCAAGTTATTTCTGGTGAAGGACAAGAATTTAGCTTTCTAAAGCATGAGGCATGTAAATCAATGCTGTAGCTTCTTATTTTAATGCAAGGCAAGTTTTCACTAGTTTTCCCTGCCCCACAGCACTGTAAAGCCAGAAGAACTAGAGAGCTAAGGGCCATTTTCCCTTCTTGCATGCTCAAGAGAAGTTACTTGCAGTAAATTCACAATGTATTGTGGATGGAAATGTATGTGAAGCACAACAGAGATTTTTATACAAGTACTACCCTGTCAGCATGTATGCACCCTGTTTTATTTCTTCCTTTCCAACTACTGAAGTGCAAATGCAAAAGACTATCAATAACGAAAGAGATGGCAGAGTAAGAGAGAGAAACACCACACCAAAAAAAGAAGCCCTAATATGTGCACACATGTTCATGGAGGGGAAAAGTAGTTTTTGTACTATGCACATTGTTCATTCACCTTTAAGTTGGTCTCAGAAACACACATGAAAAGCAACTAGATAAATACAGCCTGTAACAATGTCACGTTTGATAAGAGGGCCAACTCTGCCACATCTGGAATTAATTATTCTAGGAGGCTATAAATATAGCCTAGTGCTCTCACCACTACTGGTGGAGCTACTTTTTCAGTTCTGCAGCAGACAAGCAGTCTGAAGTCCATTTGAACTGCTGCCTGATGTGGAGATTATGACCATATTTCAAAGAGCTGAGGCACAAACTACCACAGATTTCTATACCAATCCAGTGGAGGTGAGTGTCTGCAAGGTGAAGCAAGTCTAAGCCTGCTACTTACACTATTCTGAACAAACAAATAAACATCCCAGAACACAGACATGTTTTGGGGGAATACATTCCACCATAGTGGATTTCAGGGTCATTACAGACCTTTGCCTCAGTCCTAGATGAAAACTTAGCATAAAGCCAGAAGTCATATCAGACTGCTATACAAGCATATGAAGCCTTCCTGACATCAATGTCATCAGAAAGATTTACCTTCATGGACAGAAGGTGCATGAATATGGCCATTTTTTTCAGTGGGTTGAATCTAATCACTGTGGACTTGTTCTCCAAAACAGAAGAAACACTTCAACCAAATAATTCAAGAACTTCAGCACCAACATCAGGTAACATGTGTCATGTTGGCCTGTCACCAATAGCTTGGGTATTTTCTGTAGAGCTGAGCATAAGCCACTGGACTTCAATTCTAAGCAGTGTTCTTGAATAACTGGAATGAAGGCCTTGGGGTAAAGGTAACCTTACAATAACATTGAGCCAAAAAGCACAATTCACTCATATAAGCTGGTATGTGTTCTTCTTGTGGACAGTTACAGGCAAGATTTTGCACATTTTTATAAAGTACTTCTTTCTTAATAAGTAAACGCCCTCCCACCCTCCAATTAGACTGAGTCCACCAATCTGCTAGGTAACCACTAAACAGCAGGCAAAGATCCAAATGTCATGACCAGATGCAGTGTCGAGAAAAGGAATCTTGGAGATCCTTCTTGGCAAACAAGATTACAGAAACTAGAACCCTGCTGGTCAAATTTGAGCTAGTAGAATTAATTCTGACACATCTAGTTCAAGATGCCCATGCTTATCGCAGGGGGATTGGACTAAATTACCTTTGAAGGTCCCTTCCATCCCAAACTATTCTACGATTCTGTGATCTTCAAGATAACACTCAGAAAAATGACGCTAGTGATACATCCAGATGCTGTACCTACCGAGTCTTAATGAACCTAAGACCACAGCTAGCAAATGCAGTAATTGCTGCAGCTGTGGCTAGCTCATTAAATAGCAATGGGACAACCCAACATTCATCTCTATCTTTCTGCAATAAATTCTACTGTCAGACCTGAGAGCTTGAAATCTCCAAGTTTCATTGTGTTTCAGTAGGACAACAAAGCATTAGAGCTGGATTGATAAAAGAGGAAACTATATATGTCACCTAACGAATTCCAATTGGGAACTTCCTTTGATTTCTCTCAAATTCAACAGAAACATTAAGAGGCTTATCAGAGAAACATTGCGTGCATGTTTGGTCTGGACAGTGGTAGTGCTGATGCTGTCAGCATTGCTCCACTTCTGAAGAAAAACACTGCACCATTAAAGGGTTTCCAGCAAGTTGCATTCAAGGTCCAACACTGACCATGAGATTTACCCAGAAGGGAAACTTCGAGCCTGGCAAGTGAGTACATCTGTACAGTATATTGAGGACACTCAGCTTTGTCAGTCACTGGAACTAATCTGCCTCCTCACCAGTGGCAGATAGGGTCCTTTATAAAAAGCAATCAAAACAAAATGATGCAGGTGTGGAAATGGAAGGATCGAAGTACTAGGTACCAAAACAGAAACAAGAAAGAAAATACTCAAATTCTAAAGCCCAGATGTTCTCTCTGAAATATTAGTAAGGATGGAGGCCAACAGAGACTTTCTAACCTCAGCAGATTGCATAAAGAGAGCCAGAAACCTTGAAGAATGCACACAGGCTTAAAGGGAATGTACAGATGGAGAGCAACTCCAAGTGCAGCTCTTAATGCCTACCTGCAAAGGTGTACTATTCCCACAAATGCACTAATACGCAACTTTGAGAGCAGTAGGCAATCAGGTCATTCTAAGGACAGGACCACTGTTACAGATACTACACAAACAAGTATTGTTCAGCTCAGGTTTTAGGTAGGATTTCTGTAGTAAGGAGGATTTCTGTAGGATTTTTGAAGGATTTCTGTAGTAAGAACACATAAGTAGGCATTTAAGACAAGCAACATAGGAAATAACTTTTCTAAATCACATATTTACAGTCACTTTTCAATTAAGACTTCTTTTTTTTTTCCCTCTATTCCTTTATTCTAAAAGGAGCAGAAATTCTAGTACTGCAGTGGTGTAGCATCCACCTGAGGATCTCAAGTGTTTCTGCTCTCTAGAATAAGGTGCTTGCTGCATATAGCAACAAGCCTTCTCCTTAGGCGGGGGGGGGGGGGGGGGGGGGGGCTGAAGAGGGGGAGGAAAATCTTTCCCTATGGCTTTATATAATTTCAAATAGTAAATCTGTGTATTTACAGATGCATATAGTTTGCATTTGTACATATAAAAAGTGAAGAGCAAGCAAGAAGTGTTTTTTGTATTAGACTGCTTTTAAAAAAGTTTAAGGAATACTTTTTAGCCTACTTGGGTTTTTGCAACATCTCATCGCTCCTTTTTAAAATCGACCTCCTTGCCAACCCCCAGAACTTCCTGTTAACCACAACATTTGAAAGCAACTGAAAGTAAAGGTGGAAAGGGTGGGATAATGTTTAATGGGAAGGAGGGGTTTTTTGTTTGCCTTTTTTTTTTCCCCAGGTTTTGTTTTTTACAAGCAAGTGTTGTCACATCTTGTCAGAGGCCACGGCTCTGATTTTTTAGCTTTCTTCAGAGGAAGGAAAAACATCCATTTTCTGTAAAACCATACAAACTTCTCAGGCAATTTTATTTACCTTCTTGCAATTATAATGGTAACAGCAGTTTATAAAAGATTAATTTTTAAATTTCTATAACAGAACTAATAAAATTATTTTCTTACAGTATAATTTGGGTTATGTGGAGTTCTGCCAGCATGCCAACTGAGGTCTTGCAATTTTCTTGTACTCTACCAAAGTCTTATCTCTCGTCTCAATTTATGCAGTTGCAAGAGTATAGGACAGTATTTTTGTTCAGTCCTTTGTAAAATTAACTTTGCACTTATAACTGTCATGTTTTGTATCCATGATAACACTATCTACTCCTTCACCATCTTAGTGAAACACAGCTAACTTGCCTGTGAGTATTCAGCAATTACTCATCCAACACTGTCAGTTATAATGGCCCAAGAGTTTTACTGTATCTCACCCCTTTCCTCCCTTTATTAAAAGGGTAAATTATTCAAATAAACACATATGTTACTAAGCAATCTGACTGATCAGCATACGCTATTTGCATGGGCTGGGTAAAACAAAAATCAAGACTGACAAGCATAACACCCAAACAAAAACCTTTTCCCCTTAAAATTTTTAGGTATATGTTTTAAATAGTGTGAATTCAGAATTAACAATAAACTCTCATTAAAACAAGAACTGATAGTACATCATGGAAATTGCTTACAAAAATGAATGTTACATTTAAAATATTAGCAAAGGCAAACCAATACTGTGGTCAGTTAACAGTTTAGTGTTTTAATGAAACAAAAATCTATCCCCTCTCCTCAATTTGTAGACACCATTTTTTTCCTCCTCCCCCACATTTGTAGGTTAATGCTATATTTTAAGAAAGTTTTATTAGTAGTTACCTATGGATGCAAAGAAAATGATGGCAAGAAAGTCACGTATTGGTTCAATACAGGACATAATCTCCTCAGTAACCATGTGACCCTGAGAAGAGATCAGAGCTCCGGCTAAGAAGCATCCCAGCTCCATTGAAACATCCAACAGCTCTGTGATCTGTCAAGGAATAACAGAGAATCTATTGCTGTTCTCTAGCCCCAGGTGAATTTATACACCATTTCACAGTAAAATTACAAAACTACATTAAACAACGCAGGAAATTACTATGTTGTTATGCAAGATCAGTAAGCTCAGTGTAATTATTTCAGTTTTATGCAGTATTGTTTTTATACAAAAGATTGACAAACCTTTAATGTTTCCCCTCCATGTTACCTCCTTCCCCACAAAAACATAAGTGAATTTCTTAATCTACATTGTAATGCTGCATGTCACTTAAGGATAGCATCTGATTTCACACAAACAAGGAAGACTGTAACAGCTCTGGAGGCAGAATTACATAATACATGAAGCCTGTAAGAACAGTGTCTTTTCCAGCTGTCAAACACAGGGAAAAAAAATAAAAATCAAAGGCTTGTAATTTGGAAGAATAGCCTCAATTTAGCAGAAGTCCCAGGCATAAATTACATGTTATTATTGTGAACTGGACTTAAGTGTGCCTGTGTCCTTTACTGAATAGGGATGCATTTAAGCATGTGAAATAAACTGCTGAAATGAAGCCTGATACCTGTTTGAAAAGACTGCTTCATTCTTTTTTATTGTGTGAATAGGGTACTAGAAGGAAGAGATGAAACACATGCAAAGAGACGGAACTAAAAACAAAGCAACTGCTTCAGGCAATGCTCGGAACATTAAAATAAGCAAGCAGCACTTTTAGTAGGTATAAAGTATTTAAAATAATTACTTTAAAACTATGCTGCTGCAGATGGTCATCTTACTGAGAAAGCTCAATGCTATTAATATTAATAGAAGATTGGAGATTTATTTCCGTACTAATTTGGATTAAGCAACAATACACTCAAGTATGTTTATGGACAACATTCATCACATCTTGAACAGTGTTACACTGTAAGGTATGAAGCTAGAACTCAAGTGACTTGAAATTAATGGAGGAGAGCAAAAGATACAATAAACAAGTCTGCAAGCTATGCATAAAATGCCACCTAAAAATAAACCCCAGACTTTTGTGTACTGAAGTATTAATGCCCAAGTGCTCATCACGTAACTCCAATAGTCCGTAATTTATTGCAAGACATTTAAGAACACAAATGGGTTTTGTCAGCTAATGTAAATAGTTGCAGATCAGGCAAAACCAACAAAAATAACATTATAACTTTACTCTCATTTTAAAAGAAAAGGAATTTTAGCACTTTTTGCCACAATTTGAAGCTGTCAAGGTGGAAGAAAGAAATATATATTTTAAAAGGCTTCAAAATCACCAAAAGATGAATAAGATAAACAGTAACAAGTAGGAAACACTTAAGTTCTTCTACATCAACATTAGTTGTTTTAAAATTCACAACCTCTTGAGTATGATTAAAATCCAATATAGCCTCTTCAAATAAAGTTGGAATTATTTTTACTATCCAGCTATAACACACATACACTTAAGTATTATCAGCTGTAACAGAACTCCAGATCAAAACTTTTATAGCTGACATTTTAAGTATTCCCATGTACATGCTTAGGTTGCCACGTAAGATGGGATTTAGCACATTTTGTATCAGAACTGCTTGATGCTGTGGTGTTGTAAGAATCACTATTCAATCAGGGAGCAATTTAAGGGTGAAACAAACACGCTTGCTCAGAATGCATCTGACTTAACTGGAGCAAACTCTATGTCCATCTGGATTTGCTCCCACCAAATAAAACATGAATTGCCATTCCTTCACTTTATGACAAGTATGAGCTCAAGGGCCTGGTAGATAACGAGGCAGATTTTGCTATTTCTTGTCTGCTCACTAGGTACTACACAACTTAATGTCTACAAAATCTATAGGTCACTCTTAAGAAAAGTATGAAGTGAATGAGAGGCAAGAAGAAAACCAAAAATTACATAATTTTCTTAACCCTATCCCCCCTTTCTCCAGTTTGTTCTTTTGATTTATATCCAGATTTATACAGACACTCCTTTCACTATTCCCATCCTGGTCTCTGGCTGTCTACTAATAGTAGCAATAAGGCAATACACTTCCTCATATACTAAATCTGTAGCTTCAGAGTTTACTATATATAACATGTGGGTGCACACAAACACACACACACTGGAGAGGGTTTGTTTTACTGGCAAAAAGGCATTCTCAGCAAAATTCCTTAAATAAGCAAAAATTGGAAAGTATTTTGCATTTAGTATTCCCTTACTGCTTGCATCATGGTTAATATTTCGCTTTCAGCAAACAAGAGCTCTAACAATTACTAATCCCTGGGCACTGCACTGTCATTTCCTCAACTCCTACATTACAGAAAGCTTTTTCAGTCAAAATTAAATGCAATGTTTTGTCAGCTTACATGTTTTTCCCAGTACAATTTAGTTTTCAGTTGTTTTCAAAGGTCCCATTTTACTCAAATTCAGGAAGGACTGCTTTGCTTTCACTCGAATATTGGATTTTTATGTTCTAATGTTCTACCAGAGCAATAAATAAATAAATATCACTGGTATTATGTGTTCCAGTTGAATTTCCACCATTTGTTCAGCAGTTATTTTACCTATCTTTTCTAATAATGTGTACCTTACTGATAACTGTAGTCATCACAGAAGCTTAATGAACATAGTGAGCCAGTAAATATAAAGAAATTCCTGATGGAAATAAATGTATTAGAATTCCAGACTTCAGTAATTTATATCTGCCCAAGAGTAAAGAGGTGAATTCTAAGCTTGCTAAGAATTACTAAGAAGTAAAGCCTTAATGAAAATAGAAATAATTTTTAGTGATCATTCCAAAATCTCCATCTCAACTGCATTTTAATAATTAACTAGAATATTTGAGATTAAGGAAGAACTGTAATCTTTTAATTGACAAAAAAAGAGTTCATAAGCATGTTATGAGCAATTGAAAAGTATTCTAGACAAACAAGGAATGACATTCCTAATACACTGTAGGGAAACGTATGTACATTTTCTCACATAAAGTACTAACAGCTACATTTTCTTTTAATCTCTTTAGTATATAAAGTAAGCTGGCAATTTCCCTCCATTTGTGGCATCACTCCAGGTGAACCATAAGGCAGTCAAACTGGAAGACGCTTCTTCTCCACCATGTTTATGCACAGTCCTATGAACATGTAAATGTAAGTGCTAACCTTGTCAGGTCAGGTTTTATTTTTTCCCCAATTTCTTAGGAATCATTCAGCAACATAGTTTAAAAACATACCAAAACTGACCCATGTTGTCATGCAGATATCTTAGCAATTCATTATCAGAACAGTATTTTAAACAATTCTTGTAATGTTTCTGCACATACAGAATATGAAAAACCAACACTACACCAGTGAACACTCTGGCTGACTTCCAACATATTCTTCAGCTTATTGTGGTATGTATCTCAACCTAAAAGTACCAGTTTGGCCATGGATCCTAAACGGATATTTCAAACCATAAACTAAATTCGCTTATGTTGTGATTCAGGAGAACAGTTCCCCAGTTAAGAAACAAAACAAAACAAACAAAAAAAAAACCCACACAAACCACCAACAAAAAAAAAACCAAAACCAGTTCCTTTGTAACTTAAAGCTCAAAAAGGAGTTGCTTAAAGTGTAGTAATGATCTACTGAACCTTTGTTTCTGCTGACAATGTGATACATACATGACCGAAAGATGTACAACTGTGTCTGAGAGTCAACTGTACTTTTATAGGATTTGCACTTGCCACAATCCCCCTACCTAATCTGCCTAACCAGTTCAGGGACAAAAGGGAGGGGAATTCCAGTTACCTCTGAGAATACATGGGAACAGAAAGAGGCATCTTCAGCTCCAAACCTTGGTAAAATATCTTACATCTGAAATTGGTTACATCTCTTTTACTCTAATTTAGTTTATTGAGACAACCTGTTTCAGATTTAATGAGTTGCAATATGTCTCTCAGGTTTTCTAAATGAAGCACAGAGTCAGCTTTGGTTAAGACCACTAAAATATGCACTCACTTTACAAAGTGAAAAGCTCTTTTAGAATTACACCAGTATGGAAAATTCTGTGTTTGCACATAATTACACAAACTCAGTCAGTATTTAGGCCTAGGTTTTCCACGGAAAAAGATCTTTGCAGGAGCCTATGCAGTTCAGTTGTTTTCCTACCTGACACCCAAAAGCCTAAATTTATCCTTTACAAATACATGCATCATTTTTTCAAATAAGATTGCCATCCCTCATCCTATGTTTTTATTCCTGACATAATGCAGCATCTATGCTATATAGCAGTTAAGATTTATTTTCCAGAAGAATTTTTTGTTGAGCTGTTCTACTGGACAACCAAATACATTTTTGTTTTGCGTTGTTTTTTTTCAGTATTATTTTTCTTTAAGCCTTTGCGCTCAAACCACAACTGGTAGCATAACCGTAATGGATGTATCAGTGTCACGGAATATCAAGCATCTCAGCTGGTTTACTGAGGTTGCATGCAGTATCTTTTGTACTGTTCCTTTTGATACATTATTTATCAAGTTTAAAAGGAAAGTTGTTTTCACTCGAAGTACACAAAATATTTATTCCCCCACAAACGCTTCCCATGCTGAAGCAGCATTCTGGTTTTGCAGTATGAGTTTCATACACTCAAACATATTCTCCCACCTTATATATGTTAAAGTCAGTAGAGAAACTCCTTATACATTTGATAGGTGATTTGGCCACAATACACCCAATTCAATCAGATGAGTCTATGTAGGCCATATTTTTAATGAAAGCAAGGCTGCTTCTAGATACCGTGATATTTTATGCAACTTCTGTGGTTTGGTTGTTGTTTTTTATTCAAGTTGTTATACAAATGTTATATCTGCTTGTTAGAAAGTAAAAACTAGTTTTGTTAATTCTCTTATTATATGGCACATTTGGAATATGAATAGGTGTTTAAAGGGATGGCATTTTTCATGTATGCAGAAGAAATCAATGAATTGTAAAGCTGTGCTCCCACTAACTTCTTTCTTAACTTTCTCCCTGAAGGAGGTGAACTTTCTTTGTTGGACCTGTAATAAAGTAAATACCCCTATGAAAAAAAAGTGCAGGAACGTTGTGGGATATTTTTTCCTCAGAAATTCTCAGAGGACATAACAGTCTGCACATCCAGGATAATGGAGTTTCAAACCCACAACATTATTAGTGACCATCACATTCTGTTCTCCAGCAAAATAGTTTTTCAGAGGGCTGAAACATGAGATAAAAACAAACAGAAAGAAAATCCAGATGAAAATGAACCAAACACAAAAGGGTATCAGAATCTGTGAATCTTAAGGCATTTCTCTACTTTCTCAGCTTCATTCCAAATTGTTATACTCCCACAGAAAATTATTTCATAATAAAAACCACATTGAAAATTTGCTATTGAAAAGAATCTTACAAGCAAATGTCACAATCGGGCACTATCAGTATCTCAAAAACCATCCTAAATTATTTTCAGAAACACACAAAGTAGCCAAAATTAAAACTGAAATCACAATTCTTTAATTGGCTTAAGTTGCCAGCAGAAGTACAGCTGACTGACATTCAAATTTTATTTCTTCTTACTCATCTATGCTGTAATGTATGAATCATCTGTGCATTTGGGGTTTGTTTAAAAACATTTTAAAACCAAATAATTGGCTACAGAGGTACATGGATACCCAACAGTAATTGTGATGGCTTTTGTGATACTGATGCAGTCAGCTACTGCATGTATCAGGATATTTTATTAATTTAAAAGATTACCGTTAACATAAGGAAGATGAATGCAGTTATTCCTAGGATGAGGATTTCTTTATTCCCTTTGCTTTCTGCATGCAACTTGCGATAATATGGTCCTATGAGGTAAGTCTTTATAACAAGACATGTAAGAAAAACAGCAGCCAGAGAAAAGAGAATTTGGCCAATCAGTATCAGTATTCTCAGTACTTCCTTGAAAATGCTGGAAGAGAAGAACAAACAAAACATTTCTTTCAAGTGCTCTCATGCCTCCCAATCAATTCCCCTTAAGTGAAAAGATCTAATTCCACAGATGTTCAAAACTGAGTAGGTACAGCAAGTATTTGGATACATTAGTAAACAAGATGAATACTAAATCTGCCAAGTGCCCAGCAACCTCTTTTACAGCCCAGAATTTACTTTTTTTTGTTGACTGATCATCAAGGTAAGCTATCAGGCTCAGTAACAGTACTGCATAGTCTTTGACAAAGATATGTCTTAAGGCAGTAAAGTAACTGAAGAAATTATTTTTTTACAATAACAAACTTTTCACTACAGATTTCAAGTACTAGACAGGACTAAGGCAGCTAAAGCAGAAAGAATATCCTCATGCAACATGACAAGTACAAATAGTAAAGGGAACCTGTAGAACAGAGTGCATATTTTTCATGAAACTGACATTAACTGTAGCACTTATTCATATTGGCAATCTACATACTCACTGGAAGGGGTGGGGGGAAGATATGTACAGTATTTTTTTGTTTTACCTGGAATATGTGCTCACTCCTACTTGAATAAGTGTAGGCATGACAGCTATAAATAAACCAAGCTGCACATCCTGCATCACCAACATTCCAAGTAGTACGCTGCTGTAGTCAATATCCCCTGTACACCAGCAAAGCAGTCATGGAAACAGTCATCAGAATCTATGCATGCTTGCAGTGCTCAGAAACTTAGAAATAGCTTAATCAAATGGAGGCTAAGTGTAGTTCTCAGTGGGTTGATATAATTCAAAGCATTCTGTTTGGCTCCCCCCCCCCCAGTAAATTGTTTAAAACATTTAGAAAGAAAATATTTGTAAAGACATTAAAATATTATAAAGAATAATGAAATATATTAATGGGAAGCTTGTGTTACACAATAAAAGTATAGACTTTGCTTAGCAGTTAAGCACTAGCTATTCATTTACTGGGACTCCTTTCATGAAAATATACAATCTTTAGACTAACAGACACATGTAAGACCCAGCATGCATAAAGTATACACTTTGCATCTAGGCATTAGAATACAAATATTCTAAGGAGTGGGAAGAACTTCAATGCATTATCTGTTAGGGAGGTTTACATGGAAGAAAGCAGGATGGCAAAACTGTTGAAAGAAACAATTAGAAGTCCTTGAGAAGCTAGCAATATGGTACTTCTCTGAAGAGCTGTTCGCTATGAAAGATTCCCTGCACTGGTCTTAGTTTGCTGAAGAAGGATGTGAATTATTTCAGTTAGCCTTTCTGCCCTGATCTGATGACAGACAGGTTACCATGCTCTTAAAAAGCATAAGGAATCCATGAAACCCCTAATCAAGTCAAATCTTAACATGGAGAGTACTAATTGGGCCACACTATCTTTCTCCAAAGATGACACCTCATAAAAAAAAAATACACAACACTGGTCAGTGTTAAAGGATGACAATCACTTGTAAACCAGACCTAACAGTGGTTTTTGTTTTGTTTCATTTTTAACCAGTTTCTCATAATATTACACTACAACAGTCCCTATTTAAAATTATACCTACCTTCTTTATCACCTCGAACACTACCTGCAAGAAATCTTGACACCAATGGAGTGCTTGATAAAGATAAACAAGTGGAAATGAAGACACTTTGTGTTGGTCTAATTTGGAGCAGATGTCCCCATAGCAGACCAAAGGCAATCATCAAAACCGTCATATAGCAGGGTCCTTGCAAAGATATTTTCCATACCTTGGGAAAAAAACAAGTTCTTATAAGAAAGACTGATCACACTTTTCTCACTGATAAGTTACAGTGATTTTCAGCGCAAATAAGCAGTGATTTGGGGCTGCAGTGCTGGGCCACAGAAGTAACAGGTTGTCATCTTATCTACGAGGCATAATAACTTCAGTTATTAGTTACTGTGCCTCATAGATACGCTAATGAACCAGAAGACTCATAACCAGAAATTAGGTAAGTTTTCCAGAGCTCACAGACAAATTAAAGGCCAAAGGTCCAGTATGGGTTCAAATGTATTGAACTCATCAAATGGAAAGCAAGTTACTTGATGTGATTCCAGGGTGGGGAAAAAAAGGTAACAGCAAAGACCATCAACAGTACCAGCAGCCCACTCCACTCTAGTGTGCATATAATTCCCAGGTAGCAATTTACATACTAAAGTTTAGGAACCCTCAAATTACATCAGTATTATCAGCACTGTTCCCAGGCTGGAAGTCAAAACACAGTGCTGCACCAGCTACCAAGAAGGAGAAAAATTGACTGCTACTACTAAACTCAGGACAACTTTAGATGGACTAGAAACAGATCAAGCTGATTAAATTTTAACACTCTTCAATTAAAGCTTTTATGAACTCACAACCATCAGTTTAGGAACAAGTCACATGATGCAAAAAAACTCTTTACAATACATACAGTCTTCACGTATTTTGCAGCAGTATTTTCCATTATTAAAATCTAGGTCGTTCATGAGATAACTCTTTTTTAATTAAGACCAAAAGAAAATTGTAACTTTTTGCTGAATCCTGATGGCCACATCATGTAATATTCCAGACTGCGCTAACGCACTTGCAGAATCAGTTTATCAGCCAGTACAGCATGTATCATTAAATCAAAATGCAGTACTTGACTGAATTTTTTTTACAACAGGACAGGCAAATGTCACTGGATATTCTGTAACAGCAACTGCATGCTAAAACAAAGCAGAAATGGATTGCTATAAATTGTGTAAGATTTTTCTAGTAATCAAAAACCATTTTACTAAATGAAGAGAAATAGCAAAGAGGTTTTTTTGAAGACACTGAACAAATAATGTGTTCTGTTCTTTCCAAAGAGTCAAAGAGCACAAGCAAGAACCATATTTGTCTTTTCAAAAATGTGCAAAAGAACACCAGTATATTATAGGAAGAGTGTAAAATCCTGAAAGATAACTGACGAATAGTAGCAATTAAATCCTGTAATACGGAGGTATTATACAAAAATACCTTTCTTAATCTTTCAGGAGAAAACTCCAGACCAACTAGAAAGAGAGTGAAGAATACACCGAACTCTCCTAATGTCTCCACCTGTACAATAGACTTAAATAACAAAAAAACAACAACAAAAAAAAATCAGTGCACAGCAGTCTACTTGTAATACAAATTTTAAGTCCATTTATAAAACAAATAGTTTATTCTATATCCATTGTTAGTTCAGTTGCTGGTTATGTGACATCAGAAGTCCCCTCAACATCTTTAGGGTTCAAACATTTTTCCCCCAACACCTGGCTGCTACTAGTTAATTTGGTTGGACAGTGCTAGTCACCCTAAATGCACATACATTGATCCAGGTAAGCTTGCTTGCTTGGTGAAAATAAATAGGTTACAGTTCATGCATATACTATTTAACCCCCAGTGTTTGCATTCCAGAAGTTACTTTATTAGTCTATTGGTATAATCATTCTGCTAGACTGTAGCTGCCGTTCTGCTATTCATCCTAGAGACTCCATGCACAAGTCTCTCAGACCAGTACAACTATCAGCCTTTGCACTTCAGCAAAAAGGGTGCAACAGCAAGAAAAGTGGTTGTCTTCCTCTTCACAACAGAAAAATGGGGCTGCATCTGGCTAGCAACCAGACCAGTGGTGTTCCTCAGGGTTCAATTCTTGGGCCAGTCCTGTTTGATATATTTAGCAATGATCTGGATGCAGGAGTTGAGTGCACTGTTAGCAAGTTTGATAATACCAAACTGGGAGATGCTGTTGACTCTCTTGAGGGACAGGAGATCTAGATAGATTGGAGCATTGGGCAATGATTAACAAGAGGAAATTTAACAAGTTCAAATGCTGGACTCTGCACCTAGAATGAAGTAGTGCCAGGCAGAAGTATAAGCTGTGAGAGGGGTGGCTGGAGAGCAACCCTGCAGCAGAAGATCTGGGGGTGCTGGTAGACAGCAAGCTCAGTATGATCAGCAGGGTGCCCCGGCAGCCAGGGGGCAAACCACATCCTGAGGTGCATCAAACACAGCATGACCAGCTGGTCAAAAGAGGTAATTATCCTGCTGTATTCAGTGCTGGTGCAGCCTCTTCTTGGGTACTGTGGGCAGTTCAGAGTCCCCCTGTTGAAGGAAGAGGTGAAGGTCCTTGAATGTGTTCAGAAGAGGGCAACACAGCTGGTGAGAGGGCTGGAAGGAATGTCCTGTGAGGAGCAGACGAGGACTCTGGGTTTGTCTAGTTTGGAGAAAAGGAGGCTGATGGGTGACTTCCCTACTCTCCACAGCTTCTGGAGGAGATGTGCAAAGGAAGGTACCAAGCTCTTTTCCTAGGATCCAATAAAAAGACTTGTGAAAATGGCTCAGAACTGCACCAAGGGAGGTTCAGACTGGACATGAGGAAGCACTTCTTTACCGAGAGGGTGGTCAAAGCCCCTGGAACAGGCTTCCTAGAAAGGCAGTCAGTATGCCAAGCCTGGCAGTGTTTAAGAGGCATCTGGACCTTTGCATGCTTTAACTTTTGGTCAGCCCTGAGTTGTTGAGGAAGTTGGGCTAGATGATCACTGCATATCCCTTCCAACTGAAATAGTCTATTCTATTTTAAAACCCTAACACTTCTTTTCAATGTATTTACAGTCCAGAGCAGAAGAGGACAGGATCCATCATCAATAAAAAAAGTGGAGATGGAAACTATCTTCCCTGCCAGATTAGCATCTGGCTGCCCCCTCAGTTCCTCTGACATTCAACATTTTTAAGACACATATAACTTAACCAGACATTACCATGCAACCTTAACGTGCTGTTTTGCCTGCTGGCTTAAAAATCTGTTAATGCACACCAGACCACTAATCAAAACATGTGCAATGTCTCACCAACCACAGCCCACTGCTTCACATGAGTTTGTAATCAGGGTACACGTGACAGAGCTAAAAAGGTTCATGAGACTTCAGGAATGTGAGCAGGGGACAGGCAAAGAACTAAGGTGACTAGGATGGATGAAAGAGATACAGAGATGCAAAGCAACACTCTAGGAAGCCAAGCTATCCTACTCAGGGAATTACTTGTTTTAAACACTTCCTCCACTGCTAACACTTTAATGTGTTAAATATTTAAATAATTTAAATATTTAAATAATTTGGCTCTTAGATGTGATGCTTTATGATTAAAGACAAAAAGAAAACAAACAAGAAAACCCCACAACACATAACCTACAGCTTTCACTTTCAACAACTACTTATGTCATGATTATATAAGAGAAAAAAATTGAAAACAAAAAGTGATTTGAAGACCTTTAAGTTTTAAGGCCTCCTTTTACAAAGGTCCAGGTTTGGGGATTTGTTTTAAATACATCTGAGTTTGGCAATATCATATTCTTTTAAATCTACTTTTAAAGATTTCAACAAATGAAATCACTCAAGAAGCTACTTGCATACTTACCTTTATACTATTTAGTCCTGATGGTCCCAGGAGTACTCCACAGATGATATACCCAAACATGGTTGGCAGTCCTATTGTTGTGCACAGCCAGCCACATGGCAAAGACAACATTCCTATTGTCACAATATCCTAAATATGCAAGATTTACAAATGCATTAATATAAAACACAAATCTGTGATGAAATTAAAGTGGTTTTTTTTATCCTTTTATTTCAAAGGATAAATAGCACTGTAAAATTAAACATAGAATACTGCCCGTGAGAAGAAAACACAACTTTAGTAAACTAACCTGAACACTTTGCTGTAGGTGTAAACACTGCGGTTTTGCAGATGAAGCATCAGAGGTACTGACCTTCAGTAATTGGTAGCTTTGGGGTTTATTATCAATTACTAAGTATTTTAAATACATTAGAGAAAGTATAGAGTTTCCTGGGGAATTGTGGGGGGAAAGCCACTTTGCATTGAAATAAAATGGTGAAACATCCATTTTGGTTTGAATTAAAAAAAAAAAATCCAAATAAAGTTATTCTTTATGAAGCACAAATACCACAAAAACCCATGTCCATGCAGCTTCCTGCATCCCTTTTCTTCCATGCAAGGCATTAAGAGGTAAATTCTTTCTAGTGACAACATGGAAGCGGCTTATCAGGCACAGCAGTAGCTTGTTTTAATACTGCAGTCCAGGAAGAGGGATGGTGCCCCAAAGGTGCAACAAGTTAAACCAAATAAACCCAGAAATGATTCATGCAGCATTACTATGAGTCTTGAGGAGACTGTACTAGAAGTAGGGAATGCACTGGCCAGATCACCAGTAGACAGGGGAATCATGAATGTTAGGATAACTTTAGAGGGAAAAAAATGCTAAAACTGTATTCAATCCAACCAAGCAGTATTGGCATCAAACTAGTGGGACTAAATCTTACCAAAATGAATGACAAGAATGTCTCTAAAATTATTACCTTTATGAAATGATGATCAGCACGAGGAATGGTTGAATCTCTGGGCTTGGTAAGAATATACTGATTGTTCTGGGAATCAATAAGCATGCTAAGCCCTAAGTCATCCTCTACTTCTCTTTTTGAAGTATTGCTTTTGGAGTTGGCTTCATCTTCTTCCACCCTTAAAACTGCTTCAAAGTTTACACCTCTTACCTGTAAGAAAAAGGAATGGGGAGCAACAAGGGGGGCTGTCAACGAAGTATACAGTAAAAAGGGAAAGATTATTAGCTGTGCTTAAGTTGCTCTAGAACTTGCTGACACCAACTAGAAATACTGCAGTTTCTTCTTAGAGAATTCTTTCAGTCACTTTATCAAAACTTGATGCCCATAACTGAAAAGGTTATAATTTGGTTTACATTTTAAAACCAAAATTTTTTCCAGACCTCTTTAGCCAAGTTGTCCAACCAAAAACTGCAAAGACAGGATTTCACAGCTGTAAAATTGCAAACCAGGATTTCCAATTGCATCCAACCTAAAATGTTTGTGGGGTTGTTTTGGGGTTGTTTTTTTTTAGTGCTTTAACACATTTAGAACACAAAAGGTTTGCTTAAAAAATGATTTTGTTCAAGAGAATAAAATGTTACAATGAGATTACAAAGTGATATTCAGTTCACAAAAATCTGAATTGACTGTGTTCCAAGTCAAGGAAAAGTCACTCTCCTGTAAATTTTAAGAAGAGAATAAGAAGATTTTATCTAGGTCTGTCTTCACTGCTTGGAATTACAAAGTGGAATACACTAGGATGACTTCATTATTCACTGTATTTTTAATAAGGTAGATTTTACAAATATTCAGAAACACTTAAGGCTGTTATTTCTCTTAGACTCCAGTAAAGAGAGTAGGTTGCTGTCATTGCTGTGACTGACTACAAAACATTCAATTTTTCTGGATTGCTGTATTTTGCCCAAGCAGCTCCCCAATTTAATGACAAAGTGCATTCACATAAGACATCTATAAAACAGGCTTCTGTTTTCCTTTACTGATTCCCCAGCACATTTCCCGTAATTGTTCAAATAAATACTGCATTTTCAACATTTAACCTGCAATTTTTACCCTTTTCTTCTACTCCTTACATTTTTGTGTATGTATATAATTAAAGGAAAACTTTTATCATGGGAATGACCTCTTCCCCTGGTTTTGTACATCATGCAGTATGATAGGCCTCTAAAGAACTTGAAGTCACTAAGAATCAAACAGAGGGGGGGAAAAAATAATTTGAAACAAATTATGAAGCTTGCATTAGCAGTCCAGAAAGCAAACTGTATCCTGGACTGCATCAAAAGGAGCATGACCAGTAGGTCATAGGAGGTGATCCTGCCCCTCTACTCTGCTCTCATGAGACCTCACCTGGAGTACTGTGTGCAGTCCTGGTGTCCTCAACATAAAAAGGACATGGAACTATTGGAAAAAGTCCAGAGGAGGGCCACAAAGATGATCAGGGGACTGGAGCACCTCCCGTATGAAAATAGGCTGAGAAAGTTGGGGCTGTTCAGCCTGGAGAAGATAAGGCTGCATGGAGACCTAATAGCAGCCTTCCAGTATCCAAAGGGGGACTATAAGGATGCTGGGGAGGGACTCTTCATTAGAGACTGTAGTGATAGGACAAGGGGTAACGGGTTAAAACTTAAACAGGGGAAGTTTAGATTGGATATAAGGAGGAAATTCTTTCCTGTTAGGGTGGTGAGGCACTGGAATGGGTTGCCCAGGGAAGCTGTGAAAGCTCCATCCCTGGCAGTGTTCAAGGCCAGGTTGGATAGAGGCTTGGGTGAGATGGTTTAGTGTGAGGTGTCCCTGCACATGGCAGGGGGGATGGAACTAGATGATCTTAAGGTCCTTTCCAACCCTAGCTATTCTATGATTCTATGATTCAGAAGCATAAATAGCTGCTTCAAACACCAGCATTTCAGCTGTTGAAGTGAGAGGCTGATTACCATTTTTATGCATTATGAAAGTTGTCTTTTCATCCTTTTTTAAACTAAACCTATCTTTTTAGATAAATATATATAGTTCCTTTACCTCCCTAAGCTCCCCACTTACCAGGCTATTTTGCATTGCAGAATGAAGTGTCCATTGCCAAGTCTATGAGACCAAACCATGTTTTTACATTTTCAGCTGATGGGAAAAGGCAGGAGCAGCTGCATGTCATGCGCATGCAAACTATTGTCACAGTATTGGAGCAAAGAAGAAAGGCTTCCCTACAGTCAGCAAACATGAAGAACTGTTTCTAACCAGAATACACAGTAAGTATCCAATCCTACAATTTTTCTGTCATCCTTGCTTCTGACTCCCTGTATCACACCCTTACTGCTACTCCAGGGATACTAAAACAGAGCTCAGAGGTTACTATTAAATGTTGGCTCTGCAACACAAAACATACATTACACTTTCACACTGGAATTATTTCACTGTTCAGTGCAGTGTTCCCATCTTGCAGAGGACTATTACTTTGCCTAAAACCAAAAGGCTAGTAAGCCAAAATCTGTTCTAGTATCTTCTTGGGAATTTAATGTTACAACATCAGCAACAGTGTTCACTAAGCACAATTATCTTATAAACTACATCAGCAGTGAAACATCTACTTTGAAGCTCTGTAACTCCAAATTCCTAAGGAGCTTGTTGTATGTTCCTTTGTACTTAGGAGCTTGTGTGGCTGGAATGTAACCAAAGTTCTCTGCTCTCATGAGACCTCACTTGGAGTATTGCGTACAGTTCTGGTGTCCTCAACATAAAAAAGGACAAGTAACTGTTGGAACAAGCCCAGAGGAGGGCCACGAGGATGATCAGGGGACTGGAGCACCTCCCGTACGAAGACAGGCTGAGAAAGTCGGGGCTGTTCAGCCTGAAGAAGATAAGGCTGCATGGAGACTTCATAGCAGCTTTCCAGTATCTGAAGGGGGGCTATAGGGATGCTGGGGAGGGACTCTTCATTAGGGACTGGAGTGACAGGACAAGGGGTAAAGGGTGAAACCTTAAACAGGGGAAGTTTAGATTGGATATAAGGAAGAAGTTCTTTACTGTAAGGGTGGTGAGGCACTGGAATGAGTTGCCCAGGGAAGTTGTAAATGCTCCATCCGAGGTGGTGTTCAAGGCCAGGTTGGACAGCGCCTTGGGTGAGATGGTTTAGTGTGAAGTGTCCCTGCCCATGGCAGGGAGGGTGGAACTAGGTGATCTTAAGGTCCTTTCCAACCCTAACTATTCTGTGATTCTATATGCATAACATAGCATAGCTTTCTGTTGTATTCTGTCCTGTTCCACTGCATTTTATTCTGTTCCATTCCCTGCTCTCACAATGAGTTGTACAAGGAGGAGATCCTTATCTGAAATGCCAAGGGAATCTGAGCAGCAAAAAGCACTTTCAAAGACACAAATGAGAATGGTTACAGGTGGAAAGAGTATTTTATTTATTTCTAAATGAAGTTATTTGATTTAGTTTAGCTTAGGTAATTTTAGTCTGTTTTAGTTTAGACCCTTCAGTTTAGCTGGAAAAAAACCTCCCTTGCAGCCTGACAAAGTAAAGCCAGGGCAGGAGCAGTGTCGTGGTGGAAGAGCAGTGCAAGAAGAACCCAGCCAGAAAGGGCCAGGGAAGACATGACAAGGGGTGGTGCTCAATACTCTGGGACAGCAGCACGTCCCAGGGCCACGCTGGGACCACCCTGGGAGTCCAGAAGGCTCCTCCCCCTGAATGCGGGGCACGAGGGCCCGCTGTGTGGAGCACGAGAGCCCCTGCCTTTGGGACACCATGATCCAAAGGAGCCCCATGAAGGGGCTGTGCTCAGCTGCAGAGGAAGGCAAAAAAACCCAGGGATGCTAGCTAGTCCAGCCTGGGGGGAAAGGAGCCCTTCCCCCCCCAGCTGCAGGACACAAGGGGCCACCTTCATGGAGCATGAGCACCAGGCGATAACAGCCAGAATGGATCCAAGGAGCCCTGACAAGTGGTCATGCTCAGAGGAAGGCAAAAAACCCCAGGGGACCAGTGCCAATCTGCCCCAGGGGAAAATTCCCTCCTGACCCCAGTGCTGGCAATCGGCTACTCCCTGAGCATGTGAACAAGACATGTTCCTGGTCCACACACTGGTTACACCTCTAAGGGGACAAGGGGACACTGGCATTGCCTTTTCTGCTTCCACCTGGAGCCATCTCAGGGGCTTCCAACAACAGCAAAATGCCATTAGCCTGATGAATCCTCAGAGCAAGAATCCTTCCTGTGCTTGGCAGTGGGAGCTCGAGAGCACTGGGAGAGGGCACTGAGCCACCTGTGCATCCTTCGTCTTCTGGCTGCTGCCACTCTCTCCCCAGGAGATGAGGACAGTGAGCTTCCAGATGACTGAGACAGGACCCCTCGATGATGCTTTGAGTATGGCCCCTCCAGGAGCTGGAACTGCAGCACAGAACCTCCCACAGCTCCAGGTGTTCCCTCCTTCAGCACCCCCACAGGCAATTCCCCAGTGCCCAGCAGATGAGGATGGCAGGTCCCCCGGCAGCTGAAGCAGGATTTCCATCCATCTGAAGAGATTTGAGCATGGCCCCTCCAGGAGCTGGAACTGCAGTAGAGAACCTCCTGCTGCTTCGTGCAGCTTCAAGTGCTCCCGCCACTAACCCCCTCCCAGTAATTCCCCCAGGACTTCCTCTCAGATGCCCTCAGGCTGCCAGCCCTGTCCTGGTAGCACTGCCGGGCACTCTTGCAGTGGGACACGGGACGACACTGCCTTATACTAGCCCAGAGCATTGTGATGCTGCGTTGCCAAGTGCTGGCACTATGACACAGGGGCGACAGGGCGCCTACAGCCCCGCCCACCACAGCCCTGCTGCAGCCCCTTCACCCAGCATCCCTTGGAGAAAAGCCTTTGGGCTCCTGGCCCTGAGGCAGTGACTGTGCCCAGGAAGCCCGGGGGGATCTCCCTGCCCATGGTGGCCACACACTGGGCATTGCTGCGGGGTGTCCATGCAAATAAATCTGTGTTCAGACTGTATCCATAAAGGCTTTTATACCATGTACAGTCATTTGACTGTGGCGATCCCAAAGGCGAAAGTCAAGGGGTTTGGGTTCCCTCTGCATGAACTTTGCAGAAACATAGACAGCATACAGCATTTCCTCACCATTCCGTATCAATACACCAATTGGCATTTGCAACTACACTGCTTATGGTGAGGTCTTCTTGGAAAGGAGACTTCAAGAAATCTCTTCTGCGTTTGTTACACAGCGTAAACAGTGCAAACACAGCCACACTGAACAGAGCCTTGGGTGGCATGAGTTAGTGTGAGGTGTCCCTGCCCATGGCAGGGGGGTTAGAACTGGATGATCATTAAGGTCCTTTCCAACCCTAACTATTCTATGATTCTCTGAATCAAAATTCAAAATATACCAAATATCATATGAAAGCAATGCAACTGGATAAATACATTTCTCATGTAGTTGAGTTCACAGTCTAGTTCGAGGTCAGAAACAATATGAGGAAAAAAGGAAAAGTGTCTGTAAGATTAAGACAATTATGAAAAGCATTTTTGTCTGTGTAATATATATAAATACATTACAGTATTTACAGCATATTTACTTTTACAAAAGCAAAGGGAATTGAAAAAAGAGACTATGCTAGAAGAGCAAGAGTAGACGGCACAGGTTCATAGCTCTTAAATACTAAGAAATTTGAGGACATAATGGGAAATAAAATCCTGATTCTCTCTCAAAATAGCAACTCCAAAAAGCAGGTTGTACATAGCAGAACACAATGCACAAATGCTCCTGTCTTGCACTGCAGGTTAACTCAGATTTTTTTTTGTCCTAATTTCTACCTACTGCACTTCTCTATTTGATTATATTGCTTATTATTTTATTAGAACTTCTAGTGTTCTAGCTTAAAAGAAAGCACACTAGCTGTTTCTTGCAAAGACGGAGATGTAGGTAGTCCTCTAGGTTGCATTTCACAATTCCTTTCCTTTCATGAATAGAGATACAAGCCGAAAGATAAAGAGGTACACTCGAGAAAAAGGATGAGTTGGCATTTTTCCAGTTAACAGGTGTAGCAGAGGAAACCTCATTCCTGATCTCTTTAAAACGTGCTGTTATACCCCGGCGGCACAGAAGAGGGCACTCCAGCCAGGTCGTCCCTTTCCCACAGTTGGTCCTGTTAGATAGTATTCCTACTGAGGGCAATTGCTGCGGTCTGGTGGATACAAAATAAAAAGCTGCTTTCACTTTCTTGCAATAAAAGCACAAAAAATGGTCTTGCTCTCTACGGAGAGATACTCAGTTTTGCCTCCTAAGAAGAGCTCAAGAGCTATGCTCATCTTGGAAGTCAACCTGCATCAATAAAAACCTTTCAAGAGCAAAAGCCAAACAAAATTGTAATCCATATATATGCAAACAAGGCCCAATTCAGAGAGTCAGTCCCTGAGGACAGCACAATGGGACAGTAGAATAAACTGACATATTCCCAGCTCCAAATACACACTGCTTTACCTGGGGGATACTGTCTGTCATGCAACACAAACAACAATGCAAATAGGCCAAGGTATAAAAAGCCACGGAAGTGAGAAAAAAGCAAGGCCAAAACCACATTGCAGGTACTTACCTTGAATAATACATCTTTTCCCAGACTGTGCAAACTAACTGCAAGGATTCTTGTTCTCCCATAACTTTCTCAACAAAATGAAAAAGAAAAAAGTAGAGACTACACTTAACACTGTAACTCCATATCCTGCAACTTCTAAATATCACCACCATCACTGAGGTGTTGTAACTCTCATGGGCTGTATCAGTGAGACACATTACACTTGTCACTGTCAAAGCGTTAGTCACAGGGATGACTTTCAAATCAAAACCACAGAAAACAGTAGCAAAAAGTAGGTTTTGCTCACTAGGAGTGTTTAGGAGTTTTAAAAGCGTTAGCTCACTCCTAAAAAGCAACCATTCTACCATTCTAAATACTTTCTTTTGTCGAAGGGGGAAGCAAAAACGAATGTAGAGTCAAATTTAAAATTTGTCACTAAAATCCTAACAACTATTTAACACAAGAGAAACACACCTACAATACAAATATAAACTAAAGAATAAATGCACATTAACCAAAAGACTGAGTCTTAAATCTCACTTACAGATTTGTTGTCATCAAAGGCATGCTCTTCTATCTCTTCTTCCAATCTATCAGCTGCCTTCCTGACATCTTCTAGAATTTCATCAAGCATTGACAGGCTTTTGTTTTGATGTTGTATGTTCTTAAGGGCTTCAACCTGATGTTTTTCTGCTGCTAAGAGCTCGACATATTCCATTTCCTCCTGTTGAATTTTACAATACACAGATGAAGTGCTGGCCAGGCATTTGAGCAGAAAAACATCTGACATGAATGCATGCTTCTTTTGACACAAAACATCCTACAAGTGTTGCTGCAAAAGCAATGTAGACTTTATAATCATATTTGAAGACTGCTTTCTGTTTTGCCAGTTTTCACTGGGGGAAGCAAGCAAGAAAAGTGACGGTCAAACAAAATACCCACCCATTGAGTTTTCTAATCCATTAAACTACAGAGCTGCCCCAAGGTTGCAATCCAGAAAACACAAGAAAAGAATTACTTTGAGGAACTCTAGGAAACATTTCAGAGCCAAGTAAAGTTTAGAGGTCAGTGCTTTAGCAGGGAAGCATGATAATCTTGAAAGCATAGCTTTACTGGCTACAACAAACAAACAAATTGGAAGGAAAACAGTGAATCTTAATTTTAGAAGGTGTTTTGTAAACATGGGAAGAGGTCTGTTTATGGTTTTCTGAAATTACAATAACTGTGGAAACAGCTAGGAAAAAAAAATAAAAACAGTTAGAAGAGTACAGACGAGCAGTCAAGCACGCAGACTGAGGTTCCCTTTTGTTTCCAAGAAGGATTTTTGCTATCAAAACTAAAATACTTTGTCTGTTTTTTCAGTTTGAGCCTCTTGTGAACTTGCACTAATGACTTCTAACATCCACTTCTAGGTTTCTGAAGAAAAAAAAATACTGATGTGGTTCAACATGGCATGAAAATATTTCAGTAGCTTCCCTGATAAAAATTATGGTATTTCATTTCCCTTTGGATATTTCAGGTTCAAAAAAAGAACTAAAAAATATTTACTGATCAAGACTGGACTTAACATGGTTAAGAAGACAATAACCAAACAAAATACTTTGTGTACTGACAGGGTATAATTTCAGGTTTGAGATGTTTTGGGAGGGACAAGGGACTGGAGGGGGTGGAGCTTCACTTTACATATCTACATTATTTTAAAGATACATTGGTTGAGAGCAAGAAAACTATGAATGAGGAAATATATGCAACGGCAGGCTTTCCTTTCCATTAGATTCAGGATACTGAGAATATTTACATGAGAGACACGCTACATCTGTTCTTCAAAGAGCCAGCATTACTACCAAGGGAAAAAAAAGATTGGGCAAAAAATACAAGCAATCTCTAGGTCAGCCTGAATTCCTGGAAAACATAAGTTTCTGTCCCTATTTTGGATGCTCTGCCATACCCAATTAGAACTATCAGACAGAATATAGGTCTCCCTTAGGTTGTGTGTTTTATCTGCCTACCACACACACATACCTTCGATAACCTGGGCATCTAAAATGGTCCCAAATTCCTATGTTTAATAACTGGAGTGTTCCGTCCTCCGCATGTTTGCGGATGAACATTTTTCCCCTTGAAACCTGCAAGAACATGCATATAATGTCATTAATTCCTTGATGCTAAGACAAGAGTATATTCAGTGCAGCCTGTAACTGTGGCTTAGCCCTTCTGAAATCTGGACAGTCAGATGAATATCTTTGGTTGTGATGAAACTGCAGTATTGCTGTCTGTTGGTGTTTAGAATTACCATAGTTACACTGGCATGATGGAAATTATCCAGTTCTCAAAATAACTGAAGTTGGGAAAAACGTAACTATTAATGTGCTTGGCCCAATGTCAATTGCTTTAGTTCTTATGCAACACATGAGCAAGAGACACAGTCACTCTCATACAGCCTCAAGGAAAAACATTTCCTATCTGTCATTCTCTGCTAGCAGACATTGCTTCAAAGATGTAAAAAACAGCCCCCATATGAGCTTCAGAGTCTTTCCTCAGTCAACAACAACTTAGAACACCAGATGGAAATGGTAAGGATTAGATTCTTTCCCCTCCAAAATGGAACAGATTTGGGGTGGAAGGAGATGATCAGTCCTTTCTGTCAGCTGAGACAAACAGGCTGAACAGAGCTAGAGAAATAAAGAACTGCAAAAAAACCAATGCTCTAGTTTGCAAGAAGTTAACTTTCTCTGGAGAGCAAGGTAGAAGAGCTTCAAAAAAAATCTGAGTTTAAGTTCCTTTAATTAATGAAGACCAAGGTCTTTGTAGTCTATTAAAATGGCATCTCTGTTTTCACCTACAGTGTCTATAAAAAGGACAAGCTAGCTCAAACAGCCTGCTGCGTGTTAAGCAGAAGTGCACCACAGCACACTGTTCTGCAACTCATGCTGGGATTGGAGACATCTGATCACAAGGTAACATACAAACAATTGGTTAAGCAAGGTAATACAGATAGGGATTGTGTACTGAACAGGAGACTGGAATGCCTAGGAACACATGAGCAAAATTGAGTAAGATGAAGTAAGACTTTGGGGCAATGCTGGTTAAGAACACTGTGTCACTGTTGCTCTTTAATGAGAGATGACAAAAAGCACAGCTAGAAGAGGATGTATCTTTGCACTACTTGTGAATTGTTTTTCATTAATGTCTGAGTAGGAAGCACCCAAGAAATTAGAAGCTGATAAAAAGCAGGTGAGATTTTGTTGCTTTTTCCTTAAGTTCCACACAGGTTCCTGGAGCAAAGGAAGGCAGAAGCTAATGTCACCACTTCTTCCTTCCCTGCCCTCCCCAAATGATTCTGCATTACCTTTTCCCAGCAACAGAGCCAGTAGGAAATGCATCAGACATTCATACATCTCTCAGCACTAAAAAAATCCAAATGCTTCAACTAAACAGAAATAAAGAGTCCAGTACCCCCTACAGTCATTTGTATTTTCCATTCAGTCACAGTTTAAAAAATTGAAAGGATGTCTTATGACTACATTAACAAAGTAATCATTTCAGTAAAATGAAACTGGAACAAAACCGGACCCCATGTAATTGTCATCCTTTTGGCATGCATTTTCCCTTTCCCATTATTCTTCATTTCACATTATATAACAATTGCTGTTGTAAGGTTAGAACAACAAGTATTCTGTTTAAATAGTCATGCATGTGACATAAGAAGTGTAAATGATTGCTCATTCAAGTAAATATCTTGATATGATAATACAGAAAAGCCTGCACAATCCATCCCCACAGAAGTTAAGTTTTAACAGGACGCACATCTAAACCACATCATTACACACACAGGCCTCCTTTTATGAGAAAAATGAGGAAGCACCATTCTCAAGCTCAAGGACACATTATTTAAGTATTTTACAGTAACGCTGCCAAAAAATAGGTAAATGAGAAAGATAATTCTAAACAGCTTCACTGTTGCTATTTTAAGAACTCTGAAGAAAATCAAGTAATTTTATTACAATTGCTACCATTTCTATGCAGGCTGGCACTACATTAAGTGCCAATATCAAAGGCATATTTAGCACTTCATTGGAACACACATAGATCCAAACTACTCCCTCTCCAAATTTGTCATACTTCAGTCTTTGTTTTCAATCCACGGACCACTCCAGACTCCCAAGCCTGCATACTAACTTCTACTTCCACCAGCCTTTTTTGCCACAATTCACTGCACAAAATCTTTTGCCATCTTCACCTGTTAAGATCTGCCCATCTCTTACAAAAAATGTCCTTTAGAGATTCTCCCAGCTCTGATACTATAGAAGCCTTCCAGTATCTGAAGGGGACTTACAATGATGCCAGAGAGGGACTCTTCATCAGGGACTGTAGCAACAGGACAAGGGAGGACAGGAAGATTTAAGCAGGGAAAGTTCAGGTTAGATACAAGGGCAGAAGTTCTTTACTGTGAGGGAGGTGAGGCACTTGGAACAGGTTGCCAAAGGAAGTTGTGGCTGCTTCATCCCAGGCAGTGTTCAAGGCCAGGTGGGATGGGGCCTTGAGAAACCTAGTCTAGTGTGAGGTGTCCCTGTGCATGTCAGGGGGGTTGGAACTAGATGATCTTAAGGTCTTTTCCAACCCAAACAATTCTGTGATTCCATACCTCAATTACTCCCCACCCCCTACTCTTGTTCCCTTGTGCAAGGGCAGACTCTTCTTTTAGGAGGCAGAAACCAAAAGAAAACTCCAGTGGTTGACAGGTAGAGCAAGGAAACAGAGCAGTTTAAATACCAAATGAACTAAGCAACATTTTCTCTCAGTGGGAGACTTTTCAATACACAGTCTGAGTACTACAAAGTCCAGTAGACAGTGGCAGGTATTGCACACCCTAACAGGTCTGCATTGACATGAGAACTCAAATCTTCCATAAAGTACTTGTGCTCAACTGCTACTCATATGCGCTTTTCTTGGAACGCACTGTTCTTCAGACCTGCACTTTTTAGGCTAGGACTGCTATACTTAGATTAAAAATCTAGTCATCTCATATTCTGCATGTCCATTTTACAAATATCTGTATGAATATAGAAATAAAAGGCAAGAAGTCATTCTGCTTAAAATGTGCATTCTGAATGAACAATTCTCATTAAGTGGAAAATGACAGTATTTTGCCAATTTATGGCATTATTTCCACTCTGATAATCCCACTGGCTTGTCTAGTGCAATTATGCTATGTGCACTGACTCACTTCTGGTATGCCTTTCCCTTTAACACAATATTTGTCATAGGTCTTATGATTATGTTTATCTTTGTTTTCAAATAAGAACTATTGACTGCTAGTCAAGTTTTAAGCTCTACAACAGAACTACTTTCAATTTTACAAATGAGAACAATTCATGCAAAATCCACTGTAAACAGTAAACATTGCAAGTTTTATGTAAAGCCTCTTTTTTATTAAAAGAGGCTGAAACTGTACCATGATAAAATAAAAATTGTGAGTACTCTAGTAAATAAACATGGGGGAACTAACCTTAATTGCAGCTTCTCTCAAGGCTTCCAGTCTCTGTCTGCTGCTTTCTTTCATATTTACAACATCTTTGTAATCACCCTGTAGAGCTCTCTGGAGACCATGGATTGCTTGAAAGACTGAGTTTTCACTTTCATTTAGCTCCTTTTGGAAGATTTCAAAGGTATGAACCTGAAAAAGTTTCTCTTCATCTGATAGTCCAGCATCCTTCTCAACCGCTCTTATGGCATTTTTGAGTTTGTTGAGAACAACGTTCTTTTGGCGAAGAAGACCAGACAGCTTTCTGCAGCTCTCCAACACCCACTGCTTTCTCTGAGCGATAACAGCTCCTTTCCCACGGTGCAGTTTTATTGCATGCTTTACTACATCTTCATGCTCTGCAGGATTTGCTAGCTGGACACAAGGCAATAAAACCAGCGTCCATAAGGAAATAAATCCAGTCACCTTCATTCTTCAATTTTTATTGCTGTTGGGAGAAACTGATAATCCACAACTGCTCAAAGCTTCCTGCTACATGCTTTCTGCATCTCCAGTACACATATCAGGCTGCAAAATAGTACCGATCAGTTATCAAACATGATAATGTTGGGATATTAGGCCAAGCAAATGTAGAAAAGAAACCCAAGACTGCATCTTACACTATAATCTTTTAACAGTTCTCAAAACCAAGAAACAGCCCAAGGTTATTGGTAGACTTTCATTTTCCCCTTGACTATTGTCTAGATACCATCTTGTCTTAAAAACACTGAATGGAAAGCTTAGTTATTTCACATGGTAGTCACCTGCACTTCTTATGAGAAAAGAGCCATAAAAATATTAAGCCACAATGCCACAGGCTATATTTCAACCTAGCACCAGAACTCATTATTCTTATCTACCTCTTATATTTTTTCACACTGCTCCTAAAGAATTTATCATAATCATTTGTTATTTTTATAGCCTCCAAACCATTAACACAGGCAAGTATACAAAATATAATGGAAAGCAAGCTTAACTGAAACAGATTACATTGTAAGTTAGACTGGGGGGAGGAGGGGAGGAATTTCTACAGTAAAGAAATAACATCAAAACTTCATGGACTTCTAAGCATTACTAGCCTGGATCAAAGATTTTCACCTGAAAGGCTGCAGTGCCTTGAGGCATTTTACTTCAAAGCTAATTATTGATCCTCATGATTTTAAAATAGAGGTCTAAGAACACTAAAAGTAAAATCAATTCATTCATAAGTTCATTTCCCAGAAGCTACTTGAAGATCTATATTTAAACTGCTGTATTTGCTTCTAACACCAAGCAGGGTAGAATTTCAAAACTAAGAACAAATTTCTTTCCCCCAGAGCCTACAGGAAAACACTGACATTACTGTAAAATAACCAAGTTACATTTTCTTTGGGAAAAAAAAAAAAACAAACAAAAAAACAACCAAACCAAACCAACCAAACACAAAAACCTACAAAGAAACAACCCCACATCACAAAGCTATATTTAACAATGCATAAATGTATGTACAAAACATACATTTATCACTGAAGTGTAGCAGTCTAAAAATGCACAGCACACTACATGTTACTAGATCATCAGTAGTACAGGTATTTGCCTAAAACTTTAGCTGCAATCTTCATCCCTGGACCAAGAGCCTTAATCAGGAACCATCACATGGACATAGTATAATCTGGAAGCTATGTGCCTATTCTTGTGAATGCTCCATCCCTGGCAGTGTTCAAGAAGAGGCTGGATGAGGCCTTGGGTGATATGGTTTAGTGTGCGGTGTCCTTGCCCATGGCAGGGGGGTTGGAACTAGATGACCTTAAGGTCCTTTCCAACCCTAACTATTCTATGATTCTACAATTCTGTAATATAGCAGTAGTCACAATCACAAGCATCAAAGCTAACCTTCATCAGTATACAGAACAGGAAGTGAAGATAGCAAAGCACAGCCATGCACTACCTTAATTTTTAAAATACCCTCCCATCTCTGTTTGAGTTAGAACTGAGAAAAACTGTCTGTGGATGGGTTTATTTATTTTCAATGCATGAAATACAAGCCAAAGCATTTAGTTATCAATAGCTGACTATGGGCTAGGGTTGAACAAATGAAGAACTAAAACATTTAAAATTAAGAACTGAAAGTATGACTAAAGCAGCAAAAGCATAGATACATCATGCTAATTTCAATAAAATAATAAAGTAGAACTATTTCAGAACTTTGATAAAGTTATAGGGTTTACTGTTTTTAAGAGACCAGGAAAAAGCAACAATTCACACCACCTGGCAAAATTCTAGAGTGATATTTAAGGAAATATTTCTTCATATATACAAAATAATAACCTTCCTGTTTAATACGTCTGGGCAAGAGATTCTGCTGAACATATTACAAGTTATTCGTGCAAGAAAGAGGGTGAAGAAAACACTTACTGTGTATTCAAGTTTCTGTCTGCAGGGAGTTGAATACTCTACTGCACATATTACATGGTATGGCAAACCACGTACCTAAATCCTGAGCAGAGATGGTAGTAAATTTGCCCATTGTTGCACTGTGCAAACTTACCACTGTAGTTCTGACACGGTATCATTTTGTTTCAGTAGCAGTGTTTTTTACCTGGCTAGCAAAAAAATATTCAGGAAAGTGGCACCCTGGGTAACGCTCAAAAGCTCTTAAGGGAATAATAACCCCATATATAAAAGCATATGATGCATTTCAGAACTCAGAAATACTCACAGAATAGTCATAATACTACAGAATGGCTTAGCTTGGAAAGAACCTTGAAGATCATCCAGAAGGAAAAAAAAAAAAAGAGACAAAACACTCTTCTCCATGCATCACTAAGTATCAAATTAGAGGGAACTCCTGATGTTTGGAGTCCTTCTCAAGAACGGTGCGTTTCCTGATGGATTGCGTTCATCTTCCCGGTTTTGCCTTCCTGAACACGATACAGTAGCGCCGGATTTCATCAAGCGGATGTTAGACCCTGCCTCCAACGCAAGCCCGATCCTCTCATCCAAAAAGCTTGCGGCTCCGCTTGCCACCTGCCCGTTTGCCACCACCCAAGCTCCTTCTCAGGACCCTCAGGGCAGCCGAGGCGTGGGCGCCGGCCGCTGCCGTGACTCCGTGGGCACCTCTGCCCCAAAGGCACCCCTGCCCCAAAGACACCCACCTGAGAGCGATGGCTGCCGGAGGGCAGCTCCCTGGCCCACCGCCTCCTTCTCCTCCTCTCTTCCCGGGCCGGCTTCCGGGACCTCACCCTGAGGAAGGCTGGGGGGAGAAGGGGAAGAACAGGGAAAGATGAGAAGAGCGCGAGTGCGCCCAACCCCTTTCCCGCCCCTTCATGGCGGCGGAGTGAGGGAGGAAAGGAAAGAAGCAGCCGCTCCGCAGTCTGCCTGCCCGGCACTTAACTTTCCAGCCTCACAGCAACACGGCCAAATCCACCTCCTCCTCCTCCGTCTCCCCCTCGCAGCCCCTATCCGCCGCCGGCAACAGCCCAGCGCTCACCTCAGGGCTGCGGCCGACCCAGCCGCCCAGGGGAAGGAGACGCTGACGGAGGCGCAACTGCCGGCCCCGGGCCGTGTTTCCTCCCACCACCCCGCTCACCTGAGGGAGGGAGGCCGGCAGCAGCCAGGTGGGCGCGCAAAGAGCAAGAGCGCAGGGCGGCGGCCAGTAACAGCAAGGCGCCGAGAAGCCGGCCTTGCCAGGGGCCTCTCCCACCCCCACACCGGCCGCCAACCCTCACCCTGCGCCGGTCACCACGCAGCCGGTGCGGCGGCACCTTTATGCGCAGCGTCAGACGGGATCTGTAGTCCGAGCGCCTCCTCGCGGCATGTCATGGGAAACGTAAAGGTGGATTCTCCCCCTTCCCTGACGCGTTCCAGACGGTGCACACCGGCACTCGCCGCTCAGGCACAGCGCGGCCCAGCCGACACCCCGACCGCTGGTCCCCCGGTGCAGGGAAGGGCCGCAGGCTCCACCGGCGCGGCGGGAGGGCGCCCCCGTCCTGCGCTCCGCCTTTGCGCCTGGTCCCTCGCGCCTGCGCGGGAGGCGGCGCCGGGCGGTGAAGTTGGTCAAAGCGCCGGTGATAAAATGGTACGTTGTTTGGGGCGGGGGGCACGGGAATTGGGAACGGGGACGGGGACCCCCAAACAACACCCCCAACTCTCCGGACCGGCGAGCCCAGCGCCCCGCGGTTTTCTGCCGTTCCGCTTCCATCAGCACCGGCTCCCACTCCGTTTATCGCAGCGGGATGGCGCCAGGCGGGGCTGGGTACACCGGGGGTGAGGCGCGACAGAGGACAGACAGATAGGAGCGGAGCGGCCCTCCCGCCGCCGGGACTGGGGAAGGTCACTGGGGGCGGAGGGGGGGGGGGCGGAATTGAGGGGAGGAAGGGAGGCGGGCAGTGCTGCTCCCGCTGCCGCCGCCGCCGCGGGTATTTCGAGCGCCGGCAGCCGGCGCGGCGCGTACCTTTCCCTTTTTTGGGCTTGGGGCCGGCGGGGCAGGTTGCCGGAGCTCAGTGTCCCGCGCTCCCGCCGCCCCGCCTGCCGGCCGCGGGCGGAGCCTGGCCCTCCGATCTCCCCTTTTCCCTGTCCTTCCCTCTTCTTTTCCCGGGACGCGGCAGGTGCAGCCGGAGGTGGAAGGAAAGGTGCAGAGGTATTGGTTCCCTCACCTTGAGGGGGGAAGAGGTGTTCTGGGGAGGGGGGACCAGGGGACGAGCGGACGCGTTGCGTCCCGTCCCGGGAAGGGTTCTCTCGGCGCCTCCGCAGTAGGCTGCGCTGTATCCGCTCCGGCGTTTCGTTCAGGCTTGCGGTGTGATGTGATTAACGTCTTGAGAGGGCTGTAAAGCTGACTTAGGCGTGCCTTGGTGCGAGGTGTCCCTCCTTGTTTGGGTCCCGTTAGCGAGAAGCTCCCCACCCCCCGCTCCATAGAGTGTGTGTAGGTACCGGTATCTGCTGCGGTGGACACTGCACACAGGCAAAGAGTAGAAACTATACTACGTGGCAGAGTAGTCGAATCGGGTAGTCGAATGTGTTTCTTCTCATTCCTTCAGATAAGTCAGTGTTTTGAGCCTAGAAAATATCCCTGAATACCTGGCGTTCAGGGCACTTGGGAGAGGACGTGGGGTTTTGATTCGGGGGTGCTGTCGAGACCTTTGTGCTGAAGTGAGCATTGATTAGTTTACTGCTCAGAATTTTATGTAACTGAGGCGGATCTTAGTGCAGAGATACTCTCATAGTTAGACGCTAATGAATATTGGAGGGGAGAGAGGCTACATAGTGCTTGCAGTCACGGGATTATTGAATATTTTTCTATCAAGATAACACTTTTGTGGCTCTTTTCCCACTTCACACTCTTCTCCTTGCATAAAAAGAAGTTTTAAATGGTTTTTCTTATATGAAATTAAAAAAATATATAGAAAAGACCAAAGTCCTTATCTTGTTTACATGATGTGTTTCTTGTCTCAGGACCATCTGTAGTCAAGATGTCACCATCCATGTGTATACAAGAGATAACAAGTAGACTGAAAGATGGTCCCACATTTGCTGCTTACTGTTCACTGAATCAGGATTCGTGTGGTCTTGTTCCCCCCCCCCCCCCCCATTTAAGTGACCAGTAAATTTTGTGTAATACCTGATGACTTAACAAGTAATGAGACAAATTTATCTGTTGAATTATTGGCCCAGAACATGTGTTAAGTATGGTTTAACAAAAATGGGATGTGTCAGAATATAATAAAACCCAGAGTTTGGTTTAAGATATTTCCTCCTTCCAACTTCATATGAAGAATGTTGATCTATGTTAATAACGGATCTGCTCCCTGTAAAATCCCTGTTCTTACCTCTTGAGTGCTCCAGAAGTTTAGTGATGTTGTGTCAGTATGGTTGCTGCCATTAGCTGCCATTAAGAGAAGCATCTTAATTGGTTCCTGTATACCACTGTAACAGGTAGTTTTGTTGTTTAATGTATTAATAGTATAAACATCTTTTTCAGCATTAAAGTTTTAGATCACATTTACAGTGACTTTATAGTCTCATCATAACATTCAGCAAATCACTGACATGTCTGCTTTATTTTCTTTTTGCCTAATATCTTCTGTTGGCAGTGGTTTCTAGTGCAAAAGTGTAAGAAATGGTTCTGCCTTTTTTAGCTGATCACTTGAAATGATTAAACTTTGTGTTGTTCATTGTTGCTAGAAAAATATTAGGAAAACTGCTGAGAAGTTTTTCTCTGTGTATGAAGGAGTTACACAGAATCTGAGAATCTCTAAGTTATGCCTTTATAATCTCATTTGTATAACTACTAGGCATATTTTTCAGAGGGTAACCATACTGTTGCATGGTGAAACTTGTGTTTACCACTGTTTCAGAACAGAAAAACTTCTGCATATGTGAGCAATAAAGCAGAAATATGAATTTATTACTGCTAAATATGTGGTGCTAAAAATGTATATATAGATGCTGTCATTTCAGTTTTCAGAAGAAAATGCTGTCTTTTTAACTGCAGAAGAACAAGGCTTTGTCTTCCTGTAATTCTGAAGTGAAAGTTGTCATCAGCAAGAAAACTAAAACCTTTTAAAGATAGGCCGTAGTAGTAGAATGCTGAAACAAAACTTCTGGATTAGCTTCATTGGCTTTCCTGCTTCTTTTGCATCCCAAAGCATAAGCTTAAATCGTCTCAGAAGGACAAGGTCCGCCAGTTTATGGCATTTACCCAGGCTGGTGAAAGGACTGCTATTTACTGCTTAATGCAGAATGAATGGAAACTAGAAGTGGCAACAGACAACTACTTCCAGAACCCAGACTTGTACTACAAAGAATCCATGAAAAATTCAGTAGACAAGAAGAAATTAGAACAATTGTATAATCGATACAAAGGTAAGGCTTGGTTTTTTTTTTAATGCAGATTTTTTGTTGTTTGTTTATGGGTTTTTTTTTTCTAATTATTTTCTTTGCGTGATATTTCTGCTTTTCCCTCTGCCATTCTGAAGGATTTATAGGAAAGATTGCTAGTTTTTGCTTCTCACTCTGTGGTAGCAAGGTAAGGATGAAAAAGGTTTTAAATGCTCTTAATGTTCACTACACAACTTCTGTAGATTATCTGTAGAATTGAAACTAAATTAACAGTAGGAAATTAAACCTACCATGAGAAAATAGTGTCAGCTGCATGCGGTGGGAAATAGAATAAAGCTTATTATGCAAATTATTTGATTTATTGCCTGTGGCTGCTATTATATGTACAGTGTACTTTGTGTGACAAAATAATACACATTATTCTTACGCTAATATTTGGGGGAGTTCTTTTTGTTCAAAGATAGTAGTATTTCTGCCCATCAAAACAAAAAGATGTTTCAGATAATGTTACAGCTAGAAGTCTGACAAAGCAGATACAGAATTGCAGAATGGTTTGGATTGGGAGGGGTGTTACAGATGATCTAGTTCCAGCCCCCCTGCCACATGGGCAGGGACACCTTCCACTAGACCAGGTTGCTCAGAGCCCTGTCCAACCTGGCCTTGAACACTGCCGGGGAGGGGGGTGGTGCTGGTCTGTCTCAGCATGTCAAATAAGCGTATCAGTCAAGTAAGAAAACTGAGGAGCTAGTCATAGAAATTCCATTCTTACTTTATTGTTTGTGTTGGCGTGTTACAGCAAAAGTGATGTGCCTGATCAGAGAGACCTGGAGTGAAAACCGCAGGGAAGTGGATTAAATACGGAGTTGTTTCTTTTCCAGGTTTTGTTTTACAGCAGTGCTGAAAAGAACAAAAAAGGGAAAGATAGTCATGGAAATAAAGAATGTATGTGATGTAGGTAATAATGCTTTCTGAAATGTGGCCTTCTGACATAGATGTCTGTGTTATTCATTACATGACAGAGCATTGTGGCCTGGAATCATTGCCAGCCCCTGCTGAGATCCATACATCTCATGTTTTAAAAAAATGAACTCTTAACAATTACTCAACTATACTTTTATGTACTTTTCTAATGGCAGTAGGTAGCTTGCTTTGTATGATAGTGTTTCCACCTTTTTTTTCTTGTTACACTTTACGTAATGTCTTCTATTTTAAGTATAGACATGCTTTACTTATCATATGGTAAAGAATTGTCTTGGGGGGACACACGCAAACAGACCAAAATGAACAAAGAAAACAAAAAAACAAAATACCAAGCAACTAGAGTACCACTTTTTTTTTATTTGGTATAGGGGAATGTGTGTATATATATATATATATATATATATGTAAAAAATATATATGCATAGAAAATGTGTATCTGTCTATCTGTAAGTCTTTTGCTTGCTCCTTGCATGTTAGTGCTGCAGACTGCTGGGTCAAAAAATACATAATTTTTTTTAAATGCTACTAAGAATATACAAATTTTATTATTTTTTAAATCACAAATTTTATTTTTTTTTAAATCACAAGCTTTATTTATTATTCATCATTTTCCAGCAGTGGCAAACTGCACCACTTGACTTCTGTGAAAGGAAATCTAGTCAGTTTTATGTCTGTGTTTTGGTTAGCAGCACACCTTTGTAGTTCTAGCACTTTAATACTTCAGTAAAATTGCAGACCTGAACAAAACTTTTCACAAAATTTGAGAGAAAAGAGCAAAAGTTTAGATTAAGCACCTTTCCTTCATGCACAGTTTAAACCTGAATCATTGGCCTCAAAACAGCAAGGAATTCCTTTGTCCTACTGGGCCCATAAAATGCTACAGACATTACACTGTATTTGAAATCTGAGATTAGAGGTCTTTAATTGTCTGTGGTTTTGTTAATTTTCTTATCTGTTTATCCAGCAACTCTGTCAAAACAACAGTTTCATTTTTGGTCCTAGTTACCTGGATGATGAGAAACATGATAAGGATGAACCAGTCCTTGTTGAAATCCATGGGTATTTTTTCAGTGATTTCAGCACTAGTGCGCTTTTTTGCCTTTAGTTCTTCAGTTATTCTCCGAATGTACAAGAAATATGTTTTATGTGTCTTAGAGCTAGATCTGGCATATAGTAGAAAAGTGTGTTTGCCCGTTACTCCTGCTCAAAGGTCACTCAATTGTACTATGGTTGTAATTCTGTTTTAATGGGTAAAAGTCATTGCTAAATTCACTTCCTCTTTGCATTTAGCATTTTTACCACTGTACTACTGGCTGGAAAAGTGGAAGAAATCTTTGCTTAACAATGCCCCCCCCCAAAAAAAAAAAGACTTTTTTTTTTTAATCAACTCATTGGATAATGACTTAAAATAACGTGGTTGAAAAGCTTAAGGAGTTGATGAAAATGGCTGAAAGGTTTAAGGAGTTAGTCTTACATTTACTTGAGGGATACTTCTCTACGTAGCCCAATTAGTGATACTGAAACATCTTCCTATCAAAAGCTGTGAAAGACAGTTTTATAATTTATAAACTGTCAGCCTTTGAAAACAGTGTGATTTCATTTTTTATTGCTGTTTGGCTTTTCCCTCCCTCCACTTATTTAAGTTTTTATGCAGGGGCTTTTGTTTGTGGGTTTTTTTTTGAGAATTTTGTTACAGAATTTTTACAGTGACATTTACCCTGTTGTAGGTAGTTAATGGTGGTTCTTATATTCAAAAAGGTAGTAGTGCTACTGAAACATTGCAGTTCAGCTGAAGTCCTTTGTGCTAAGGCATTGTTTGAGCAACGTTTTGGTGATTTCCCTGACTTAAAACTAAAGCCTATTGGTTGTGGTCTTTAAACAGTTACAGTGAATTCTGGAATATCTCTGTTGGGGGCAGGGGGTGGTGTGGAAATCTGTGGGCTCACTTGGTAGGTGTGTTCTTGCTGGTTTTGGGTTTTTTTGGTTGGTTGGTTTGGGTATTTTTTTTGTATGTGTGTGTTTTTTTTCTTTTTGTGTTTTGTGGGTTTGGTGGTTTTTTGTTGTTTTGGGGTGTTTTTTTGTTTGTTTTTTTTTTTTAAGTTTAAGACATGCTAAGCAATAAGTGTATTGTACATTTTGATGTGTTTATCAGCTTTACGGTTTTCAGGTGTAGTCAGGCATCTCCTCAGTTAATTCAGGTCTTTTGTAGAGCGTTATGGAGAGAAGACAAAACTTTTTCATTGACATTAGCTAATGAATTTAGGAAAAATTGCAAACCAGTTTCTAGGGAAGTGTGCAGAATGCTTAATCTATGTACAGATACTCTTCAAGGTTCTTCAATAATTAACTAGATTTCAAGTGAAGACGCTTGTGAAACTTACGAAAAACTGAAGACCTGTGTTGCGCAGCATATCACAGCTGTGCAAATGATTACTTGTAATTTTTTTTTTTTTGCAAGTAATGACAATTCCTCTCTTTGTATTTTGAACTGTAGATCCACAAGATGAAAATAAAATTGGCATTGATGGAATTCAGCAGTTCTGTGATGATTTAAGCCTGGACCCGGCCAGTATCAGTGTCCTAGTTGTAGCATGGAAGTTCAGGGCAGCTACTCAGTGTGAATTCAGTAAAAAGGAATTTGTTGATGGGATGACAGAGTTGGGGTAAGTATCCATTTCTGCATAGTTCATCATGTAAGGCCTGAGCTCTGTTTCTGTTTAAAACATTTTTAACTGAATTAAGTGTGAAGCTTCAAAAATCTGGTAAGGCTGGTGACATGCTTAACTGATGCTAAATGCCTGTAGTGTCCCATCTTCCTTAAATTAGTGCTTTACTACAAAGCCTTAATGATGGCCACAGTAAGGGTGTAGCAATATAATTCCTCTCTGTACAGAGAGAAAGGCAGATGGATATGCTGATCTTTTTATGTAATTCATAGTAAACATATGCATGGTTTTGTTAAGGGATTGAGTCGGACCATGTGGTGTTAAAAGCTGGCAGTCGCTGGAGGTGCATGAAGGGACATGATGTAACTAATAATTATTTTTACTTTTTTTTCTTCCTGGATCATGGAGCTGTTCTGGATAATAGACTCTGGGGTTAAACCACGCTGTCTCAGTTTAGCAATAAAGTCAAGCAGTTGTTGCCATAAATAGTATTTTGTGTGTAACTTTTCCTTGGAAGAGATACAGTATTTCTAATATATAGAGAAGTGTCAAAATGATACCTTTTTTTTTTTTCTCCATTAGATGGAGGATTAAGGTTTATTATTTCTGCATATTGTTTGAGCTAAATAATTTCATTTGCTCTCAAAATGGTACCTTATCAATACTTTTCTACAGTAGATCAACTTCAAGCAAATGGAGTGTTTGTTTCTTGAGTAGACGTCCTAGTACTCTGTTGTTACTGACCTCATCAGTTGACTTCTTTGTAAGCTTTCCTATTTGGGTAAGGATATTCAGAAATTGCGGTGAAGTAACATTTGATGTCATCAGAAGTCTACTGCTTTATTTGGGCAGAGACTGTAAGGATGATTATGATTTTCTAGCCATCAACAGCAATCACGCGCTCATGCTGTTACATTAAAAGCTGCCAGCATTATTTGGTATGACTGATTAAAAAGTTTTTGCTAAAACACCTGTAGATTCCAGCTTCGATTTTGTTTTGAAACTTTATTGTGACATTCCTACCAAGTCCTGATGACTGTCTCTGATACAGTTCTACAGAGGTCTGTGATTTTTATTTATCTGCTCAATGTACATTATGATATTCTTGGGAGAATAATCTGATCATACCTGCTTGTCTCTGATATAGTGCTTATTGAGAATTTTGAATGCTTTTGTTAAATATCAGTGGTGCGGGGTGTGATTTTTAGCATTGAACACAGGTGAAGATTTGAGTGAAAAGAAATTCCCTGAGGCTTAGTTCATGGTGGACATTTAGAATACGTATGAGAAGATATGATATTTGTCCCTATTGTCAAGTATATCAAGTCTCCATGAAACTCAAGTTCTCTGTTGAAGACTGTTAGCATAATTCCTTCTTTTCTTCACCAGGTACTGCTGGAGGCCAGCAAACTACTTATTTTTACCTGTACCATGAAAGATGGTTAAAACTGCATCTGCATTTTATGGGTTTTACTGTAGTTATCCATCCTTTAATAAAATATTTCTTGAATCTTCAGAACAAATACATTTAGCTACTGAGAACTTCGAAATACAAAATGTTAGTTATGATATCTGCTCCTTTGAATCTATTTCCTTTGCTTTGGATTTCTAGGTATAATTCAAAATATTGGTAATATCTCATTAACCTTGAATATTCATTTGATTCCTTGGCTTGGGAGAAACCCCTTTTCTTTTAAAATTGCATCTTGTCAGCTCAGGTGCTTTCACTGAAAGTGCTCCAGGCTCATGTTATACAAGGGATGTGTTTCTGTTAGAATCTCAGTAACTTGACTCTGTCTTAGCTTACCCGTGCCAGGCTGTTAAACCATTTGTCAGCCTTCAAGCTGTCATCAGAGCCTCCTTTTTTTTTCCCCACTGATCCACCAGTGTGGGGAGAAGATGACTGCAAATAATAGTTCATTTTGTTGAAAGTCCTCTAATGTTAATCTGAAGTGTAAACATAGTATGTAGCTCTTCATTTAGGTGGAGCAGGGAATAAGTAATGTCTATCTAGATGAAAGCAAAACCCCACACCATTGTGTTACAATAGCTATGAAAGGGAAAGGACAGCAGATTTCAGTGAGGTTTACGTGTTCTTTAAGAGCAGAATAGCGTTTATTGTTTGAGTTCATATGAGGAGACTGAAAAGTTAAACCACTGACTTCTGCTTGGGTATTATACTTAATGGATGCTTATATATGATCTTCCACTTAAAATTGTTTAATAAAGGCAAATGAATGTTTATGATTCTTAAGAATGCTCTCCAGAAAGATACTCTGGTTTTTATCTTAACTACTGTTTTATTTTGCTCTGAAACTAAACCTTAAAAAATAAAAAAGGATAAGAAGAAAAAAAGTAAAAAGAAAATCTTATATATTTACAAACAGTGTAACCTCTTCTGAACAGGTGTGACACCACAGAAAAACTAAAAGCTCTATTGCCAAGACTGGAACAAGAGCTGAAGGATCCAATAAAGTTCAAAGATTTTTATCAGTTTACTTTTAACTTTGCTAAGAACCCTGGACAAAAAGGTCTAGGTAAGTAGAAAACAATTGAGAAAATATCTACAGACAGTGAAGTCAATTTCAAATAGTTAATATGATACAGTTTTCTCATTAGTGATTGTGTAGTAAATTCATTATTGATTTATTTCACTGACTTTTCCTCATCTCTTGCAATTAATCTCTTCTTGCAGACCTGTCATAATTTCTTTCAAAGACTGAGCTAGTGAACTCCTGGTATTTTTTGTTTTATTCACAACAACTGAAACAAGATGTCTATACCAGCTAAAAAGAGGGAGAAAACAGAGCGAAAGTTATTTTTCTTCTAAGACTTTTTAGGTTTAGCTCACAGTTTTTATGTAAAGTTTAGGAAAATAATGTTATGGTCTTGGTTCAAAGCTGGTGAATAGAAATAGGTGTGCAGTTTATAAAATATTAAACTGTTATTCTTTATATATAAAGTCTGAGATGTGTCCCATTCCTCATATTACTGGAGTAAAATGGATATGTTGTTTAAATTCTAATACTTTCTTCAAATCAAAAATATCTATAGCTCTTGAATAGATGAAGAAAATTATAAGATGAAATCTGTTAGCCTTTTGTAACATATCCATTTCTGAAAGACACTGTGACGGAAGGAATTAACCTGTTTTGTGTGTAGAATAGAGCCTTACCATCATCAATGTTCTCTTTAGGTTGTGGGTGAGAAGAGCAAATGTTCTGGGGAGGGTTTTTTTTTCTGTGGTTTGTTTTTTTTATCATAGCCTTTGTGTCTGTTACTTGGCAAGCACATTAATAAATACTTTTTCTCAAAAACTATTAGAAGAGTACTGAGATGGAGGACAAGAACATTTATTTTAGAGCTTCTTAACCAGAGGCTTCGATTCCACATTCTTCCTTGGGAATTACTTTGAATAATATCTCTTGTCTTTCCCAGTGTCTTTTTTTCTTTTAAAGTGTGGGCAACTTTTAGCCAGTTTCCATTTTTCTTCATTTTTTTGCAGCAATTTCCTTTTTTCATTCCATGTCACTCTCACGGGTCACATGCCACCTTTCCATACACAATAAAAAAGAAATTGTCCTGTAGTGGTTCTATGAGGCTGGTTGGAATTGAAGTGCCTTAGCTAGTTGTTCTTTTTCTTGCCTCTCTTCATTACAAAGCCTAGTACTTTCAGACTGGAAAAGGTAAGTCATTCGCAGCCAAAGCTGGAATTTATGGGATACCTAAAGAAATATTACGAATGTCTTCCTGTTTTAATTGAATCAGTTCCAACATGAAACTCATGTACTTGGGAAATATGTCTCAAAAGCTTTTCACCCAAGCCTGTACAAAGAGAGGAGGAGGGAAGGCAGCCCAACTCAGGTTATGGAACCAAATGTACTGTTTATTCGACATGAGGAGGAAAAAGGAAACTTACTTGGTTTCCATTACTTATGGTTTTGGTATGGAGGCCCTTTCATTTGTAAGGCTGTCTTCTTTGTTGTGTAAGAATGGTACTTTTTGGCAACAAAACAGCTAAGTGTCTTCTTGCACTAAGATTTGAAGTATTAGTGGGAGAAAGAAAGTGCAAAAATTAAAGTTTAATGTAAACTATAGAAAAAGTTGATTTGAACGATTGCTGGTTTCAGTTTTCAGGAATTTTAATAACTCTGATAATACTGTTTCTTAATCTCAAGTAGTGCTTAGTTCTTACATGGCAGTATTTTGGTGACATTTTTCATCAGACTTCTTACTGTTTTGCTAAGAAGATTCCAGATATTAAATAAAGTAAGTGCCACTGCTCTTATTTCAGTGGAGATACACCATGTTTGTCTGATGTGAACTTGGATCACTATAGGTCAAGTAGAAAGAGAGTGCTGAGCAAACATTGAGTAATATGATATTTCTGAGTGATTGAGATCAGTGATAGCTTATCCAAATAAAAGCTGACACTGTATACTTTTGCAGTCGGAATCTTTTCAGGGAATGCCATTATATTCAGGGAGCAGAGAAATGGGGGAAAAAAATGTTTATAGGTTGGCATTTACAACTAACTGCTTCCTGCTGCAATTATGTTTGTTCTCTTTCAGCAAAAAAAATTTTCAGCAAGGAAAATATTCAGTTATCTTACAGGGGTGTCTGTATGAGCTGAGTATTCTAGTTGCTTCAGCTACATTTACTAGAGGCTTAGGTGTCTTTTTATTTTGCCTCCTCTTCTCTGTATACACTGTGTATTTTCTCCTAGAATGACAAACTGTCCATCTTCTTCTCTGGGTATTTGTGTCCCAGTGACTATGTGCCCTATTGTCAAGGAGATGCAGGAATTCATTTCATCCATGTACAAAGTCTCTCTCTTGCTAAGTGTGGAGCCTTGGCTCAGCATGCTTTTATGAATTCAGTCCAGATAGTTAAATAAATGTATAATTAGATTTGTTACCAAATGAGCTGGTATAAATCTCTGCCTAGCTCTGTCTAGGTCATTTTAAGATACTGACCTCTCCTCCTTCCCCCCGTGCATGTCAGATGACCTTGCAGTGCTACCTAAGTATAGGATGCTACTAAGCTACTGCCCTAGCTGCTTGCCTTAAAAATGTTTCTGGTGACATGCTCTCATTATAAGCCTTTTGCATACTCATCTCTGTTCATGCTTGCTCAAGCCTAGTGTTAGATTATATTTTTTTCTTTTTCTAGCATATAACTGAAACCTTTGTTCCTGAATTCTTCAGTTCAGTACTTACCCGTCCAGAGTTCATGTGCAGAATGTTTCCTTGGAGTTAGTAACAATTTTTGGCAAGTATGTATGTGTCTTCCCTTAATCTCTGGACTGAGTAAAGCTGACTACCTTGATAAATTTTATATTCCAGCTCTCTGATACTGCAATTGTATCTTCTTTTTTTTTTTATTTTTTTTTTCCCATTATTTTTTTTTTGCCTTCTGGGATCCTATTGTCTAACTTTCTCCTGTCTTGTAGTACCCAAACAAGCTAGATAAGCTTCCATGCACCTTAGATATTTTGCTCCTCGATTTACATCCCATTATTACCTTGCTTATGTGTATAAACTGATACTGTCTGCAGTTTGTAATATGTTACAGCATTTCTGCAGAACTGCAGTGCGCCCAGTTAATTTTGAATTTGCAGTCAGTTATTTCCACTAGCTATATGACTTTGCATTTCTCTTTAACGAAATCTTTCCTATTTACTTCCAAGTGGTTTTCCAGTTTATCCAAATAACTTTGAATTCTAATCCTGGCCTCTTACCACGCAGTACTCCTTCAGGCTTTGTGTAATTTGCAGATTTGATAAAAGTTTTCTTTGCTGCATCATCTGAGTTACTTAAGTATTAGTGTTAGCTACAGGACCGACACTCATGGATGAGTTATTTTCTCCCAGTTTGGCAGAGAAGCACTGAGATTCTTCTAGAACCCTTTTGGTCTCTATGAATTCTCAAAGATGGTAGGTAGCAATTTGAGGTTTCTTTAGTATACTGGGATAAATTTCACCATGTCTGGCTTCACTTTGGGCACCAGTGCTTTCAGACTGAATTCCTGAAAGTTGCTTCTGAGAATCCTGTCCATTTTCATAGAACCTTTTTGCCTGGAGCATATCTTGAAAATAATCTGTTTATCCCAAACATTTCTCTCTCAGGAGTTATCAGCAGGACACGTAGTATCTCTTATTACACCAGCTGCCATTTGTAAGGGAGGGAGTGGGAAGGCACAGAAACCCTTCTTAAAATGTTTTTTGGTGGTACCCCACACAGTCATCTTTGAGATGCAGTGGATTTTGCTCCAGGAAGGCATTCCGGGCGGATGTGTGTGTGTGCGTGCATGTGCAATTTTGTGTTTTATGTACTTTTAGAAAAGCCTGTCTTCCCTTGCTTTTTAATTTCTTCTAATTCTACAGTTCCTCTCAAAACCAATGCAAGAAATTCTGCATTGGGGAGAATCCTCTCCAGTAAATTAAGTTACATCTGTTCTGTCATTCCCCAAAATAGGCACACGTATACTCATTTGCAGAAATAGGACTGCCTTTTATAGGAGCCTGTCTTCCATAGTTCATGTGGTGATACTAGGGAATTTTTATTTCTCTTTAAATTTGCAGGACTTCTGGCTCTATAGTCTCATCCAACTTGAATGTTTCCACTTACTTTTATTAGCTTAATATTGTCAAGCAGTATTCTTCAGACTGGACACATGCTGTTTAAAGAAGTGAAAGTAGTACAAGTCACCTTGAGCGTTAACTTGTGTGAGATGCAGGAGGCAAAAGCATATTGCCTAAGATTACCATGATTAAGCAGAAAATGATGTTCTGATTAATGTTACTCAGGGTCCATCTGTCAGGTGTCTTTCAAATACGTCTGAATAGATTTTATTATTATCTAAGAAAAAGATAGAACTGTTAAGACAGTTGTTCTCAAAGTGGTGGAAAGAATTTGGAAGGAAAAATGATAGTAAGGCTTCAACACAGCAGTTCTGTCTCAATGGATGCATATTGGACCTGGCACGTGTAAGATTTATATTTATTAGACTTCATCTGAGTGTTTTGTATGTATTTTGAGATAATGTAAACAGTGCAGTTTATTAAAGTCTGGTTTGCCAGGAGACTTTTACAAAGAATTATTATGAATAACTGTGATTCTGTCTGTTTAATCTGCTCTCTCATGCTCTTGCTACTATATTTAGTACAATAAATCTGTAAATTTTGTATGGTGCAGATTTGGAGAGGTTTGTCTTGCCTTCTAGTCCCACATTCTATTTTTTTCTGCTGCAGTCTGAGTGAAATTTTGCATCCTAGCTCTTGGTTGAGTGTACTAAAGATTATAGATCTTTTGTCATTTTTATACAGAGCAGTTCAGTTTTGTTTTGTTGTTTTGTTTTTTTTTTAACATGATACTTGCTGTAAGTCTCCCTTTGAGCCCCAACAAGACATATTCAGGAGATTTCCTCATGCTCAGGAGTTTACTACAGTTTGTTTCAGCACCGTGGAGGAACTTAATGCATTCTTTCATGGTCTTCAACTTTCAACATGGATACAAAAAGCAAATTTGGTCCTTCA